CTACCAGACATACATACCATAGTGCATGCACATACTGTATCGGTGCTCATACAGTTATGCTTTCAAAGACCCAAGTCAACATGTTCGAACTTGTGCTCTAGTTTGTGCCGCTTGACTGCAAGATGGAAACGCAAACTTCAAACCGCAAAGCTGAGTGTGAGCACATTATCATCATAGGGATAACTCACCAAGGGCAACATTCATGGCGGACCAGAGAGTCCCATAACACACAATTTCTCCATAACTTCACTCCCAATCTTAAACTCACATTTAAATAAGTGCTACAGAGAGATGATGAGCCTCTGATACAGTTTGTGCTCAGACATGTATTTAAATCACTGCTGTGCACAGCTGATAGACTCAGTAATCATTTCTCTTGCTATCTGGGCTTTTTCACTCAGTTGCACCTATTACATCATCACTCAGACACAAAGTGATACTGGTGACAACACAGACAAGTAGTAGTGAGGACTTTGGACTGAACTGAGTTTCAACATAACCCTGATTCTTAACACTCAACAGTCAAATACAACTACACTTCTGACAGTATTACCTACAGACTTGCATATGTAGGTTTATGCAATATTTAACTACACATATTATACATTAACAATATGTAATTATATATAATTGTTTTTGATTATTTTCATTTCTGTTGAGCTAGTGTTAGGGGTTCCTAGATGGGCAGAAAAACCCTCATTAGACTCAACACAATGATATGAAGCATGAACCACTGCTCAACTACTTTTATTAGGTTTCTTATGTCCAAATAGCTTGGAGCTGATTACTGTTGTCACAGGTTTTGAGGCCTGACAGACAGGTTAGTTTACCTTTTCAATTGATCAGCTGTATGTCAATAGTCACTATTAAATGAGAACCTGGGTTGAAGCACAAAAACACTGTAATTTGATGGAAATGCTGCATGCTCTTTGTTAGTTAACTTTTTAACTAACTAACTTTCTACCTTGTAAGCCCTTTTGCATCAGGGGAGCCTGAAGCCTATCCCAGCAAGCACTGCATGAAAAGCAGGGACACACCCTGGACAGGTCACCAGGGTGTTGCAGGTAAACCAAGTTTAGAGTCGCCAGTCCACCTCTTTTGCATATCCTTAAACCATAGACGGTTGAAGGAAGCCAGGAGGAACAAAACAAAAGCAACAAGGGTTGAGAATCAAACTCAAGTCCTTATCGCTAGAAGCCCACAAAGACAATAGCTGATGTGAACAGAGCCATCATGTGAAAATAAACCAACAGCAGGAAATGTCACTGATTTAAATAAAGAATGGGGTGGGGCCATAGCATGCTTTTCCTGTATGAAAAAACAATCTTAATGCTTTAGATTTTGACTTCGTTAGCATGACATGGTTTGGAAACCTGGGAGTAAATGAACAAAACTGTCATCACAGTATTATAAAAGAGTAAATATCAACAGTTTAAATCAAAAGACCACCCTCGCTGATTATGACATATAGGTCACTATTCACATAGGTGCTGGTTGAAGTTTGATTCATTGACAATAAAACGGTAAACAAATTTAACACTTTACTATCACATGGTAGTCAATAGTTTTTGTTTTGTGTTTTCTCTTTACACTTGCACTGACAGCTCCCAACATCATATAATTCATTGTATGAGTTACTTCTCTGAAATCAAGCTTTAAAAAAAAGAGCAGTGAATAAAATTGTCATTAATCTGAGGTAACAAAGGTAAGAAAGTGTAAACACTGCCTTTACAAAGGTGTCCCTGTTTTGGCAGGTGCTTATACACTCCAAATGGTGCCTTGGAACCTTTACAGGCTATCTGAAATATGAGCTTTTGAAATCTGATAATCTTAGCATTGCAGCTTGATCTCCATCACTTGTTATCAGTGAAAGGTGGATACTGACCTTTAACCCTCACTTCAAGACAAGTTCTCCTTAACAACAAGTAGACAGAACACAGTTGGATATGACTCATAAGTAAGGAGGAGTCCATATAATTGCTTAACACATTATTGACCTAAGAGGCAATTGTTATTAGAAATAAAAGTACAAAAAACAAAGTTGTTTGAATGTAAATAACTGAGTTTGAACTGGAAGATCAGTACTGAGGTGATGCAATAAGGAAACATGACTTATGTTGAAGACTGGCATCCTTGCTAAGCGACCAACATGTTATTTGAAGAACTGTAATTACAGGTGTATAACACTGTTAGCCATTGGTTGAAAGCGTTTGTGACTTCTGGTAAAACAAAAAATAAAAAAGTCAAACTCTAGTTATATAAATATAGCTATACAGATCTGTTTTGACTTGGGGGTATAAAGTGACAGCCAGAGCTGAACAAAAACTCAGCAGCTGGACCGGTTTAGTATCGACATAGAGTTCTTTGGGAACACGTGCGTTACGGTAAAAAAAAAAAATCATCAACGACTAAATTTAAACTCCCACAGACTTATTGAACATTTCAAAATACTCACATTTGGATTTTTTTTTTTTACAGGACTGGTTAAAGTCATTCACATATTTTTAATGTCCTTGAGTTGAGTCTTGTCTTACCTGTGCGAACTTCCGTTGAGTCACTCACTTCTTTTGTGAAACCTTCAGACACCTGACACTTGCTGCTGCCACTGCGTCACCGCCCGGTGTGGACCGGCAGAGGTGGAGTGAACAGAAAGGTGTCATGGGAGTGGAAGAGCCAGGTCATGTGATTTTATGGTCCAACGACCTCGTAGGTATTACATTACCCCTACCTGGTACATTTACGTCTGTGTGTGCGCTTTGCATACCACCCCTTGAAATTCCCAAGAACAACGGCTCTTTTTCCAGGCCAAGAGGGAAGAAAAAGGAAAGAAAGAAAGCAGACATACCGAAGAACTCCACTTTCTTACAGTTTGTGTGACAGAGCAGCAACTGATTCCCCATGGACAGTCAATACATTGCAATGCATAGTAATAACACTACTACTACTACAGCTACTACTACTACTACTACCACTAATACTACTATTACTACTACTACTACCACTAATAATAATAATAATGATAATAGTTGTGATGATAATAATAGAATAAACTTTATTTAACAACTTCCATACACAAAAAGCCACTCAAAGTCCTTCATTAAAAAATGAAGGCAGTGTTAATTTTTGTTTCACGTGTTGTCAAATTTATGATGTTTTCTGTGTTTTGTGTATTTGCATGTGTTTTCCTAAGTTGCAGTGCGTTGAGCTCTCAGGGCCGCTGTAGATTAAGGCATTTTCATTCTCCCAATGGTAACAATGTAGGGACAAATGTCATATATGCAACATTGCTATAAGAAACAAGCTAGATGCCTACAGAACTATAGAAAAAATCAAACTGTTGTACCTTTGTGAGATCTTGCAGTACTAATTGTAAGTGGAAATAAAATGAGGTTGTCCTTGTGCACGGTACATTGCATGTTTGCATTACATTTGCCTTCTAAATAAGGCAAATTAATTTGAAGCCTTTGCTTCATGCTCCAGTGCTGGCAAGCATCTGACCTGCCCAAGAGTCCTTTAGCAAGGCAGTGTGTCTTTTCCAGCTCCAAGGCTGTTGTGGTGAGGTGCACTGATCACTTTGAACTGGGGCCAAGAGCAGTATTTTAGTTAGATCAGTGACAGAGTACTTAGAGAATGAGTTTTTTGAGTTAAAGGTTTCACTGTTATGCAGTAGCTAAAGCTTACACATTAGTCCATTTTTCTACTAAACTAAATGTAACAATACCTTTGTTATATTGCTAAACTTAGAAAAAGGGTGTTTTGGTCGATTTTGCCACCTGATATAATTAAAAACAACATATAACAAAACATATTTCCTTTTACTTAAAAATCATTCAGGTCAAAACAATGCTGAAGAGCAATCATTTGAAAAGGGAATGAGCCAACTCTTTTTTGTTGTTGTTAGTCGCCTAGTAACTGGGTTAGCATGATTTAAACCAACTGACTGTCTCTATATTGAAAAGTTTCATAAAAGATATATGAGTCCAAAATCTCAATGCATAAAAACAGTCCTTTAATAAATCCTCCCTTCATGACGGTTATAATGTTCAGTTTTTGTTGAAACTGTGTTAATGAGGTGCTGATTCAACTGTATGAACATTTTGGCCGCTAGTCTGTGGTGCTGTTGAACTGTGTAGTGTTGACAGTTCCTATTATCTTGTTCACCCCTAATGAGGGTAAGCCAAACAACTGACTCACCTCTCTGTATAATGCAATACAGTTCAACAGTACCACAAATTCCAGCTTCCAAAATGCTCATACGGTTGCATCAACACAGTTTTAACACAGTTTCAACAAAGACAGAACATTATGAACTTCATGAAGATAGAATTTATTGCAGGACTGTTGTATTAGACTGCATTACTTTTAGCTAGGTGTACCATAAACAGACAAGTGGGTGTACATCAACACAGTCAACATGGAGCCCAGCATTACAGTGTTATGAGCTCCAAGATGGTGGTTCCTAGTATGGGTATGAGGATTTACATAGGCTAAGCAATCGCTAATCACACAAATGAAGATTTCCTGAAATGCAAGAGCCATAGACATTATTTCCTATTCTAATAACTGATTAATGAAGAAAACTTAAAAAAGTGATTTTGTTTTTTTTTGTGTCAGGCAAACATGTAAACCAAGTATAAAGCACAAAAGAAGAAAAGATGTAAATGCAAAGTGCAGAGTAAATTCACTAAAATAAATAAATAAATCAATACTGACACAATTAACAATGACGTCATACCCCGTTAAATGGCAGATTGGCAGACGCTCTCTCATAGTATTAATTTATCCTAAAAGAATAAGAGCAATAATAGCAGTCATATTGTGAAAAAAAAATATTAATTTGGTCAGTCAATTAGGGCAAAGGGGCGGCGGACTGACCCACTGTAACCACCACTGTTAACACATCCATAGTGTGCACGTCCCTGTTTTCTGTCATTTTAAGTGCTCACTCCTTCCTCTTCATCTGCGTCTCTTCAGTCGTCGTCTGCTGCAAACTGAGAGAGGCCAGCGCCACTACAATAGCATATCGATATAACATTAAATAGGCGTTAAACCTCTACAACAGTATAAAAATGGATTAACAGCAGATTTTTTCCCGTCCTTTCAAGAAACGCTCTCTGTTCCCGGGGAGCTGATAGAAGAAGATGACCCTTTTCTCTTCGCTGGAGGAGGCTTTGCTGCTGTGTGGGGGAGTGGGTTACATCCTGTGGCGTTTCCTGTGTTTGTAAACTAGACGGTGTTGAAAACGTCGGGCGAGTGAAGCTAAAAGGTATATATATATTTTCTTCGCTTTTCTTCGATGGTCGGTGAATTTTGACTGTGCATTCAATTGTCCGCATTTTCTGTGTAAAAATCCATGCTCGGCGAAGCGCAGCAAATAGATTTATTCAATATTACAGCGTCAATGTTAGCCATGGCTAGCTCGCTAACAAATGTTAGCTTAATCATCGGGAGGGGGAGGCTCTCACAGCGACGGCCATCACGAATGTCTTTATCGCTCAATCTTGTCTTGAACCAATTGAGGCTGTGTCTTATAGTAGTATCATGGCGAGAAGGTGAATTGGTGCAGTCTGCAAGATATATACCATCGTAAATTTCCTGTATCAAACCGATAACCAGGTGGGCGAAAGAATTGTTCGATTACCAACATTGTAGTGGGCGAGGGCGCCAGCGAGCAGTTAGCTGTTGGCTAGCTGGTGTTAGCCAGCTTGTTCAACATCAGCAAGACTTACGTTAGGTTGGGTGGTAGTGTGAAGGCCAGTTTAGCCAGCGCTGAAAATTACTTATTTATTTTCAAAGCAACATTGTGGTACTTTTTTTTGCATTAACTAACAAGATCGCAGCCAATGAAATAACTATACGACGGTTGTGTTGGAGTATTTTAATTAGCGTTAGCCCATGTTAGCGCTTGCTGTCTATTTTCCTAGCAACATTAGCTGGCTAACAAACGCCACTGGCGAAAACACTGTAGCCTTGCTTTCATCGGTCTACCGTTCACTTTTACGATAGTCAACTTGTGCCACAGTCTGACAAAAGAACAAACGGAGTCAATGCATAAGTTTAACCTGGAAAAGCTGCCATAAGATCGAGCAATGAACCTTTGAGTAACGTTAGATTAACGGCCTCTTTGTAACACGCTAGTTAACAAACCCCATGTCAGAATGCAAACCGTAGTACCAGATTAGCATTGGTGAATTATTGCTTAAGTATATATGTTTTAACAGCCAAGTTTCCGAGCGTTTGCCTTCCCCTTTAACAGTAAATATAGTGGTCCAACCACTCTCACCCATAGAAACTTCACTTCACGTTTATACTTTCAAATTGTGTTCCCATTGAGCTGTTTGTATGTTGAACCATTTTGAATTGTTGTTTTGATCGATAATGGTCAGTTTTAAACTTCAAGTTTAAGAATTAAAATCCACGGTTTTACTGTATAACAGTCCTTTTTTATGTTTTCATATACGTTGAATTCCATTTTTGTTGTCTATTTTAGACAACTTTTATTATATCAGAATTAGAATTAAAATAATTGATATGTGTGTTAAACATTGTGAATGACTTGAATATTGTGAGGTGCTAGAAGCTCTCTGTTAAAAAAAAATACTGGTTGACCCAGTTATATTAAAAAAAAATTACATTATTCTGTAATTTGTCTGGCTTGCGATTTTTCAAATGATGAAGATTCCAGTTTTCTATGGAATCCTATCTTCACATGGTTCAACTTGTTTCCATCATCTCATTCCCTTGCAGCTTCTTACAAAATTTGAAAGCTTGTTAGAGTACAAACAGACCTTCCATACTGCAAGCGCTATGTAGGTCTATGTGTATGGCCAGAACATCCAGGTGTGCTTTGTGGTTGGATTGCCAGCTTGTACTTTTCTGCTGTACAAACTAGTAGACTTGCATCAGTGGTGGCTAGGTAGCTAATAGCATCTAAAATAGTAATAATATAATATAGGGCAGGAGTTACCTTTATTGGTCAAGGTTTGGTATCAAAAACAAGAGGAAATTTGATTAGTGATTCCTGTAAGCAAAGTTGGATTCTGCTTCCATCTTCTTCAGTGGTTATGCTTTCAGCACTGCAAGTATATACTTTTCAACAGTGGACCACAGCTAGCACTTCAAACTATGAGCCCCAAAAAAACACAATAGTGATATGGCAAAACATCACTTTCTGAAAAGCAGTATATGACTGGACTGTTTTTGATGTCCATGATGCTCCCAAACCAACATAATTGACATTCAACTTAAAGCCACTGTAGAAAATTGTGTTTACTGTTTTCAACATGGGTTGTTTTTTCCTCACCAAAATAATATGTCAAGAATTTAGGAAATGGTGGAAACCAATAAGTAGAATTACAATCAAAATGATTAAAATTGGAAACATACCCAACCCTATTAATGATCTGTCACTGTAATCATATTATAGGCATGTATTCAATATCGGCGCAGGTGGTTAAACACACAGAAAAATAAATAAATAGATTTTTCCCAGAATGGTTTCTTAAACACTTGAGGGTGATGCATATCAGCTAGATGGGTGATTTTCCATACCTAACAAGATAATGTTATTTATGTTTATTTGATTTTTTTTTAAATTTTTTATTTAATATTCTTTTTCCTCTGTGTCACCCAGTGGTGAAACAGATGTGATATCCAGCTATAGTCCCAATCACACCATGGTTCTGAGCTGATTTTTTTTTTTTTTTTATTCAGAAGCAAATGATTGAGTAAGTCCATCAGTTGCTTGCTATAGTCAACTAGGGTAGTTCTAAAAGAGAAAAAAACATAGCTATAAAGGAATTATAAAATATTGACCACGGCGAGTAAACTATAGTTGTCTGTTTTTATAGGTAAGTATACTGGCTAATTTCTGTCAACAAAAAAAAGCTAAATCTTCTTACATCGTTATTTGTATAAATGAAGAATATTTTTGTGTGTTATATTTTGTGATGTTTAAATGTCATTGTAAAAAATGACCATCCCAATTGGAGTTGATGGAGTTTAATGTTTGTCTGTTTCATCCACATCCTCCTCTTCCTCAGTTTTAATGCTAGATGAGTGAGGTGGGTGTGGCTTCCCACCAGCCCGACCATCCTGACTGACGGATCTCTGGATGACCTTGTCCCCACCCCTGTCCCTGCGCTCACATACACCACAGCAATGTCACATCTGCCCAGCAGCTCAGTCCGCGACCATATGAAATGGGTTTGTTTTGAGAACACCAAAGTGGTTACAAATAACTTAATTTGCAGTCTTGTGTCACTCAGGATGTTGTCGTTGATTGAGTAGCTTGGTAAATGCCATGTGACTGGCAGTATTGTCTTAGATGCAGATAATTTCAAATTGCAGACTGTTTTTAAATGTTTGATACAGTTGTTAATGTGTTGTTGTTGTCCTCTTTTTTTAAAAAATTTTTTGCAGGCGGGGCTGCTTGGCTGCGAAGCTGTCCTCTCCAGTATGGCCCTGATGCAGGCCAGCTCCATGGCTGCTCCGCCCAAAAAAATGATGGCTCCACTTGGCCATGGACCACCGCAGAGAGAGGGACCTGACCGTGCTCCCCAGAGCCATATGATCCTCCCTTCTGGAATGAGCTGTCCACCCCTGGTTAGAACCCCCTTGGGAAATACAGAATGGAAATGGGGCTGTTTTATGCTGTGCATTAAAATTTGTGAAGAGTGTAAACTATTGGCTTTAAGAAATTGAAAATTAAATTGTGGAAGGATTTTCCCTCTGAATGTAATCATGATGGTTCAGTCAACTTCAAAACAATAACCATTTCTTGTTTGATTAGAGTTTTAGCGTATATATTGTTAAATAAGTTGTGTCATAAATATCTAGTATTTAGTACTATAAGTACGTAATTACAAAGTTATACATCAGGGCAGATAGTTACAGTTTTAGAAGTTCCATGTAGCTGATTGTCCTTATACCTGAGTACAGCTTCTAGTACATTAAACTTAGGATTTGTCTCAAATTGACAAAATCTTGCCCTAACCAGCACAGTATATGGAAATGATCCCAGTTGTTTTAAGTCATGTGTTGGTTTTTACTGAAATCAAGAGCACTCATCCACTCCGACTGACAGTGGCTAAAAATGCACATAATTGAGGTTCAGTTTATCACTTCATTTTAGTCATATTCAGATATTGTGTTTTTATTTTTAAACTGTAATCGTTCTGAAATTAGAAAATAATTGACTTTTTCTGGCTTTGTAGCTTATCCGGAAGGAAGGTGAATTCCAAGCTCCCCGCCTGCTGGATGAGAAGGAGATGAGGGCCAACGAGGACATGCAGCAGAAAAAAAAGAACAGGAAGTCAGTGACGCCCTGTAAAGTGAGAGAACAAGAAGGAAGGGGAGGGAAGGTCAGTGGCTGTGCTTGCTAAATAGGGAATGCTCTTTGCAGTGCATGTTTATTTTGCCTTATTACAAAAAATATGTCTTTACTTGCTTAAACATATTTTTGTGAAAGTATTCAACTATATTCAAGTCTGCCTGACTTGGAGCTTTCATGTGTGCACATTTTGTTTGTGTGGGGGTGGGGGGAGGAGTTCAGGGAAGATGTGGAGGGGGTGGAGGATCTCTAGAGAGGAAAGAGGGGGAGGGGAGCAGAGTGAAGCGGAGCACAATAACTGCAGTTGTGTGCATAACAGGGGGAGCAGTAACATGAGGGCATTAGGCCATTGGAAGGGATTGTGGGGTATTTCTCAATTCAGATGTAAATTACATTTAGTGAAAAAGCAGAGCAAACTTTGGGGTATTGCTTATTTATACCAGACAGTTTGGGTTTTAGAAATGATAAAACATTTAAAAAAAAAAAATAGACACAAAATAAATAGCCATAACCCTACAATAATTAAATTTCAGAGGTATTTTTACATTTGCATCAGATCCTTAACAGTTGGGTGGGTATGTGTGAAAAATGTAGTATTGTTTCATAGCTTATTCATATTGTTAGTATATTATCATGGTGTAATTTGAAACAAATGGTGAACCATTATTCTTTACTGTCATCCTTAGGGCACAGGTGGAGATGAGAATGGTCCATCATCCAAAGTGCAGAAAAACTTTATTTGTGATCACTGTTACGGAGCATTTAGAAGTGGATACCACCTGAAGAGACATATCCTCATTCATACAGGTATGGGTCATGCTTGGAACAACTCAAGTTTACAGTTAAGCCTAAACAGCTTTTAATGCCTGAATACATGAATCATTTGTTGAAAGAGTCCCTGAGAGCTTGAGTTGGATTGAATTTGGGAGTGTGCAGCAACTGTAAGGTTTTGCAATGGCCTGCTTAAAAACCTTGTTTGGTAATAGCTTTTGCCTCACAGCTAATCGGTGGTATCTGTGGGGACTTTAACTAAAACTGGTGCTCTTCGGTTTAGGGGAGAAGCCGTATGCTTGTGCCGTATGTGACATGAGGTTTATTCAGCGTTACCACCTGGAGAGACACAGCCTCATTCACACGGGTATGCGTCCCTTAACCGTACCCATATTGCATAAATCTGACTACCTCTGTAGTCTGTCACTTCAATCAATGGACAGATGCTCAGGGTTCATTTTGTCTGTGGACAGTAATTTCCAACAAAGCCACCCCCCCAAAATCTGTTCAGCCCAAAATATAATGCACAGTATTTGTCTTACAAATGTTGGTTCCCCAACACCAGAAAAATTTACATATAGTACTTAAACAGTGTGGTCCAATAGTCCCGAGTCCACTATTAAAAACTCATGTTGTTTTATCATTTATGATCAGATGTTTTTTCCATTTTAGATGTCTATTATTTGCCATAACCATAGATTCAATACTGTCTGGCACCAGTTGTAGAAATGTTTGCAAGATTTGAGAATTCCCATTATTTTATCATTATTTTAGAGGATCCCAGAGATGTTGGAAATTAGCCTTTGTTGTGATTGTCATAAACTCTCATTGCAATTTCAAACTTTGATTTGTCTGTAAAATGTTGATATTGTTTGGGTTATGCCCATATTTGGCCCATCATTGCAACTTGTTTTGTTGTTAAAATGATTGTTTTGACAAGTGAAGTAGTAGTTTCTTTGTTCATTTGGATTTGTATTGTTGATGCAATTGCTGTTGGGTCCTGTCACTTTAAAGCATACTATACTCAGGCTTATAATCCTATATGTACTGCCATCTATCAGTTGCCGCATGCCCTGTAAACACCTTGTGTGGTACAACACTTAACAATGCACTGTTGGGCAATGCTGAATCTTGGCTGGTTGTAGTCACAAGTACATGAGACCACGTCTGACCACCCACGCTGTTCAGCCATCTGACAACCACTTCTATTGAAACATTCATTTTAGGAGCAGGTCGTAGCTACACATAGGCGACCATATTCATTTTGTCAACATATGGTATTCTTTGTCGAAAGACCAAAATAGTTATGACTATGTGTTACAAAGAATACTACTACTACTACTACTACTGCTATTTGAATGTTCAGATTTTTGAGACTTTTCTGTTTGCATTTCTTAGATCTTAATATATATATTTTTTTATCAGATTTAAATAAGATATTCTTGAGACAACTGAGTAGATCAAATTATTTCAATTATATGGATAAATGAAGACAACAAAGAGTTCTCTAAAAAAGACTTTTTGATAGTGGACTTCAAGGTGGACTCAGACTTGTGGACCCCAATATATGTATGTGAAAGCCTCAAAGCACAGGCCGCAGGGAAAAATGCAAGATTTATTTATTTATGTATCATAATTTTTCTATGTAATTATTACTTTGTCAGTGAAAATAATTGCATGGACATCAAAGGACTATGTTCTTAATTGTTTATGTAAAATGAAAACTGAGAACTTTATTGAGAAACATTTATGCATAGTGTCAATATTTGCGTTGCACCATTTCACACAAAATTTTTTGTTTTTCATTGTTTAAGAAGTGTTCACTGTGGGTAAGTCAACTTCCAACCTCGTTTTTCCAAATCAGTTACTACTGCCCCAGTATTCATAAAAGGAAATGCTTCAGTAGTAAACTAATGTTGACCAGATCTACCTAACTAAGTTGGCATGGTTTATATATACACATGTATATATATATATATATTACATTGTTACAATATCTCAGTAGCTTGAGTAAGCAGTCGCTCTTTTTGGCAACAGAGCATATGTTCTTTCTGTTTTTTTTGTGTTTTTTTTTGTTTTGTTTTTTTGGTTACACTCTCACTTATTTAATAGACTGAATAGCTAATAATTTTATGCTCTGTGTGTGTAGGGGTGAAGCCGTACGCTTGTTCCATGTGTGACATGAGGTTTTTCCAGCGTTACCACCTGGAGAGACACAGACTCACTCATACGGGTATGCGTCCATTTACCGTACCCAGTTCAAATTATGAAACTTTATTTAATCAGGAATTCTCAATATATCAATATTTCTTATTCAAGAGATGTTTGGGAACAAAACCTTTTACAGTCTGAAATACATAAGCAGCATACAAAAAATTTAACGATAAACTTTGGACTGATAACTGACCTATATTAAGTACTCAACAGAATTTTTAACAGTTCTTTAGAATTACATTTTGCATATTGAATTTTAAGGGGTCCTTGGTTTGGAGTGCACAAAATCACACCAGTGACTGATGCAGGGGTTCATACTTTACCTCCACTTTACGCTACCTTTTCCTCAGCACAGGTTTTTCCAGATGTATTTGATCTCAGCCATTTATCATTGGTAAATTCAGACAAAATCTAGAAACATTTTTTTTTTGCAGTTTAATAAAACAATAGATGAGGCAATAGCCTCCAGAATTACTACAGGGTTGACTCAACATCTCTATCACACTGAATGGCCAGTTATTGAACATGTCCAACAATGGGCCATTTTATTGTAGTATACTATATGAGTAGATACAAGTAAACACCTGTTATAAACTCAAATTGCTCCTGTGGACCCTTCAAAGTGTATTATCCCTCTTGTACCATTGCTGTGCAACACAATTTGTTCTAGCTTTTTTTCCCTATTATTTATTTTCTAAACAAACTGTAACTACTACTTTTATCATGGTAGAAGAGCTGAAGAATTAAAGATCTAATCTCCGGGGAAACTAGTTCACTTTGTTGTTTGGAAAACACTGCTGTCTTTAACAGAAAGTTAAATTAGCAAAATAAATTATCATTTATTTTAAGCAAATGTTTTATCGTGGGCAACAGTTTGTGTTAATGCCCTTCTGCACAAACCAGTCATGTTGAAGTAGCTGATTCACTCAGGCCATGGTATATTATGGGAATAGTCCTTTGATGTCCACACTTACTTGACATACAGACTAATGGCTGCACAACTCACGTTTCTAAGCTGTAATTTTCTACCTTTTTAAATTAAGATTTTTATTAGTTGCGCAATTGCTTGTGCAGATGCTTCTGCTGTAAAATTATGGCGGAGATCAGATTGGAAGCTTTTGAAAGTTGGTCTTGAGGAGTGCTAGAAAACAAGCACACTTGTAACACTTAAACGCAACATACACTTTCCTGCCACCATAAATTTAATGTGCTATATTGTTGTTAAACCATTTTTAACTTGCAGTAAGTTGCAACAAACGAGCTCGACTCAATTATTTGTAGTAGTGAACGGTGGAGAAGTGTGCTAATGTTTCTGCTTCAGCTGGCCAGTATGATCACCGTCTTGATGCTGACTTGTATGTTTTGTTTTAAACGTGCTTAGCTTATATCCTGTTGCTGCTTTGTTTCATGATGTGTTCTGGATGATTTGAAAATGAATTCTCCCCATAACAGAAGACACTTTGCTAATTAGAAGTGAAACAAATAACCCCTTTGCATGAAGCTTGATTAGAATGTGTAATGTCTGCCAGGTCCTAGTGGTTTAATGCCTGTGAATGATGCTTCCCTAAAATATTCCGTCTTAGCTAATATGTCGATACTTTGTGTATGTAGGGGTGAAGCCGTACGCTTGCTCCATGTGTGACATGAGGTTCTTCCAACGTTACCATCTGGCAAGACACAGCCTCACTCATACTGGTATGGGTCTGCTTACCCTAGCTTATTAGGTTGTGGTGTTTTAGAAGTACCTTAACTTTTGAACTCATTGCAGTGTAAACCAAGATTTAGGGTGTTTAAAATGACTAACAGCTTCAAATATTCACAATTTCATGAACACCGAGATGTATCCAGACATGTATTAAGATGATAAAATCTAAAACTTATCCTTTTTAGCGCTTGATGTAAATACATGCATACATAGTGGAGCATCTGAATATTACACAACTTCAGCTTTTCCCCTGCTGAATGCTCTACTTTATTATGCGCTATTTCTTTGCCACTCCTAATTTTTAAAAATACATTTATCTAACTAACTGAAATGACCCACTCACTCATGGTCACAAGCCCCCATCCTGCAAAACAAGCATTTGTTTCTCAGGCTGATGGTATAATTTGTAGAAGCAAAACAAGAGCTATTCTAAGGGAAGAGTTGATGGATATGTGTTGAAACTTATTTTTTCTGTTTCTAGCTTATATTTACATACTTTTTGTGTGTGTAGGGGTGAAGCCATACGCTTGCTCCATGTGTGACATGAGATTTTTCCAACGCTACCACTTGGCAAGACACAGCCTCACTCACACGGGTATGGGTTCGCCCTTCTTTGTTACATTAGAGCCCAAATACCCAGTTTACTGAAGTTTATCTGTCCCTTGTTTACAGAATGACTTGAGTCTGGTTTTTAAAATATTCATAGGCATCAAGCCGTTGTAACTGTTGGGGCATGCTGGAAGATTGCCTCTCAGTTTTTGCCTTAACCCTTTAAGGCACTGTTTTGGACAACATTTCATTCATTAGTACTTAACTGCAGTGCCAGTAAATTATACCTAGACTTGAGTCTTAATACTTCGTTGGTCTTTGCTGTGCGGCTCGGCATTGAAAGCAGTTCTGGGTTCAGCTAAAAGACATTTTTATTGAAGACCCTTTTTTATGTATGTGGACAGACTAGAAAATGTTAGTGGAATGTATTTAGTGTTATCATGTTGGTGCCACTACTTTTGGCATGTCTGGATACATAAAATAAGTGAGTGTGTCCTGTTCAGTTCATTGTGTTGTTTTTAAAAAATACTTTGCTCTGTGTGTGCAGGGGTGAAGCCATATGCTTGCTCCATGTGTGACATGAGATTTTTCCAGAGATACCACCTGGCAAGACACACTCTCACCCATACGGGTATAAGTTTTACTTATCCCTCTCACTTGACTGTATCAGGGGTTGTAGATATTTGCCCTTGTGCGTAGGTATGGCCTACCTGTGAGAGTATATTGAAACAAAGTACCTTGTAATTTGTGCTACTCAATATTCTTGACTATGAAAGATTAAACTTGTAGGTTTTTCTTTTCTTTTTTTAGTAAACTCACTGTACTTTCTGACTGCTTTTAGGGTTGACATGACACATTTTATGTCTTGTATGTATAGCCTAGTTGGCCATGAAAATCCATGAGACCTTGTAATGACATAACACTGACTAGTGTATGTAAAATGATATATTTTGTGTATAGTAGATCATGAGTACTCTTTTCTAAAGTTTGGTACTGTATGCGTTTAGGGGTGAAGCCATACGCTTGCTCCATGTGTGACATGAGGTTCTTCCAGCGTTACCATTTGGCAAGACACAGCCTCACTCATACTGGTATGCTTGAATTAATTGTTCCCCTTTCACTATGAAACCTTTCATATGAACCTACACATGATTTTTTTAATTGATAACCCCCTCTATATATGATACCATAATTATGCCATTTCCAAAAAAAATGTTTAATAGACTTTTTAGGCTTTGTTGGAAAACTGTCCACTGAGAAAGTGACTCTCTCTGTCAGCTACTTTGTTTTCTAATTAACACTGTAATGATACTACTGCATGTTTATAAATGTATTATATTACATATTCATTTAAAGGCACGTTACACTAAAAAGTATTCTAAATGCAGGCATCAATAGTTTAAAATGTCAAGAAAACAAGAATGTTTTTCAAGATTTTATCAGGCAAGAATATTTTCCCTGCCTAAATAGTGAAATGGTGCATCCTGAACATGGGGTAACTTGAAAAAGCTTCAACATTTTTTTTCACCATCATAAACAGTTTGTTTGCAGAATGACTGAATAATACTCAAGCTGGTCCGAGCTGCAACATATAGTCCTGTTTCTCCCCACTTAATGATGCACCATAACTCTTGATGTCTGCAGGTTCTTAGACTCTTTTTTGTGTAAAGTCTTAAACAGAATTTTATCTGTAATAAAGCATGCAATTATAAACAGCCTGAAGGCATTTCATTATGTGAACTTCATCATTGTGCTGAAATACATCTAACACTCTTGTGCTCTGTTTAGGGGTGAAGCCGTATGCTTGCACTATGTGTGACATGAGGTTTATACAACGTTACCAACTGGAGAGACACAGTCTTACTCATACAGGTATGTCCTCATTGTTTGAACTTTGACCCTCTCTCTCCCTGACTTTGCTCCTGCATGCGCACACATTAATGTTTACATGGCTGCTTCAAACTCGAGTTTGTATTGCTTTCTGTCACTATATTGACAAGTGCTAACGTTTCATGTAACATTTACAAGGAACTTCATAAGCACGTACATAACAATACTTTTGCCAAGACTTTGTTAATGAAATGACATGATGAACATGAAGCGAAAAACACAATTTTATTTTAGTTTGTAGTTTTATTTAGCTATTTTGTTAACTTTTAGATGTCTGCAAGCCAAAATTGATTTAAATTACTTACATCTTTCCATTTCAGACTTTTTGTGTAAGAATTGGCTCAGCTTTACTGTAACTAGAAACTACTGTGACGCATACATCATATCGAGTACGGTCAGCCCAGTGGCTGCATGTAATGAATCTTTCCAGTGAAAAACGGAGTTTGAAATATTGATATTACTTTTTAAATATGTTTTGTAACACAATCACCAATCCTATTTTATGCTTACATAATTAAAAAAAAAAAAACAGCCTGATTCTCATAAGTAAATGAAATGTGTAATGGATTAGAAGAGCACATGGAAATTTTTAATAGACCCTTCTAGTGAATGCTAGTGTCTGTGGCTTGCAGACTCAAAAACATAATTACACATTAAGATCTCTTTACTCTATTTTCATACAAAACCATTTTTTTTTTTATTGAAGGCAAATAGAGTAGGAAATCTGTAACAGTCCCCCATCTGAACATGTAACATTGATAATACCTAGTAAAGCTGTGTGAGGGAAGTTCTAACTGTCCATAAAGCTGGGTCAAACTGGGTCAAGGAAGGCGTTTACCCTGAAGCAGGCGTTAACCCTGGACTCAGTGTCTGTGTCATAACCTGGAAAATCCCAGATTCTTGTTCTTTTTAGAATAGCTATGGATAAAGATGATCAAATTCTGACTTAAGGAGTGTGTGTTGGTAACATGGCCTGATGGGGGTCTTAATCTGTGAGTGGAGAAAAAAACCTGTGTCGTGTTTCAGCTGATGTGAATATGGCTCACAGTATATTTAGGCTAAAATTCTCAAGGGGATTTTTTTCCTGCAAAAAATTAAAACGTGCAGATTCAGAACTGACTCAGCTTAGTCATTGTGTCATTTCACATTCAAAGTAATGGCAAGAAGATAACATATAATCCTCTGTTATGAATAGTGAAGTTTAATTTTTCTATTTGAAAGCAGGTTTTGTGTAAAGATGTTCTGTCAGTCTGTTTTTACATTACAAATTTTAAATATGAAGAGAGTGCAAAGTTAATGTTTGTTTTTTGTTTTTTTAAATATAAGTTATTTATATAAGTATGATGGTTTTCAGAGCATTTTCGTTACTATAAATCAGTATTTGAAGTTAAATCACAAGAGTTGCTATGTTTAAAAAAAAAAAAAAAAAAAAAAAAAAAAATGTCTAATCTTAATGTATTGTGCATAGTTGTTTACCAACTGCCTAAAATTGTCTAATCTCTGCGATCAGCGTGACAAAAGTTTTTACGTGAACAAATCTGCTGTTGAAATTATATGCACACAAGCTCCTATTGGCATAGTTTAAAAACATCCTATTGTGGTAGTTGGAATGTGCCCATTAAATTGTCTGGTGATTTGGTAGGTTTTTAGGTTTGAAGATAAGTTAATATTGCTGTCTATATGAGATATTTTCATTATCCCTCAATTTTTCCTAATTTAAACTTTGGTCTTAGACCTTCAGCAGTTAGTTATCTTCAATCAAATGTGAAAATGTCATTTCCAATTGGAATAACAGATTTTTTAAGCATGCTGGAATTTACAGTGTAAACAAAGCGCTGATAAGTGCAACCGAACTTTACTAAGCAATTAGTAAAGTTTAGCATCGATCATTTTTGGCAGTTGAGTCTTTTAATGCTAAAGTTGGTACTTTGTGTGTATAGGGGTGAAGCCGTACGCTTGCACCATGTGTGACAAGAGGTTTTTTCAACGCTACCACCTGGCGAGACACAGCCTCACTCATATGGGTATGCGTCAGCCAATCTTAACCCAGTCACAAGATTAGGATGCTGCAACATGTGAATGCTTGATCTAATCTTAAATATCTATATTCATATGATGGATGAGAATTATTTTAAGTGTTAAAAGCCAGTAGATGACATCATCATCTCATGTGTTGTGTAAATAGATTTTAGATCTCTGGGAATTTTGTATTTTGAAACAAGCACTTATTATATTGTACCCTTGTAAGTTATTTTAGGGTATGACATTGGTTATTAACCACAGATATCAATTTAGCCCAGATTTAGCCCTTCAGTTATGAAGTGGGAATACAGATTTATTTATTTTCTTTTGGTGGCAGAGACACAAAATTAATTTTCTTGCTGCTCTGCATTTAGGTGTGAAACCTTATGCTTGCACCATGTGTGACATGAAGTTTTTTCAGCGTTACCACCTGGCGAGACACAGCCTCACTCATACGGGTATGGGTCCGTGCACCGTGCCCATGACATTCAGTGTTAGAAATCAGCGTGCACATTGAATTTTGTTAGATCACTTCAGACATATGCCTGTTACATTTAAAGGAAATGTCAGTATGCAGTGTAAAGTTTTAACATGGTTTCCTAGTCTGTATCATCAGTAAAGCAGGATAACAGTTCAATTTTATTGTTCTGATGTTAGTTGGTAACTGCAACACTATGAAATGGCTAGAGGAATTTTTTTTTTTATATTTTGTGTTTTTGCATGAATTGGCAATTGTGTGGTTAATAACCAATAGCGTAAATATTAATTCCTAAATTAAAAAATGGAAAGTGAGGCAAAGTAATATAATATTGCTACTTTGCATTTAGGTGTGAAACCTTATGCTTGCACCATGTGTGACAAGAGGTTTTTTCAGCGCTACCACCTGGCGAGACACAGCCTCACTCATATGGGTATGCGTCCGCCCACCTTACCCATGTCACTGAGATCAGACTGTACTTACATTATGTTAGATACAGAGTCAGTCATCCAAGGCAATTGTCAATATTCTTTTAAACTGACCAGTTGAACGATTTCTTGATCAGGCCTCCCCTACATTATGTGATAAAAGCAACATTAAAGCAAGTCTTAACTTGTGAAGAAATACAGGACTGCAACATCATCAGCTCATGTGATGTGTTTAGTTGTGGATTTGGGAATTGGGTTAAACATTTGGATTTATTCTTTATTGGATTTGGAGGAAAAACTATTTTAAAAAAAGCATTAATTTCTTAAAATGAACTTCAAAAGAATTAAAAGAAAAAAGTGGTTAACAACCCATCAATTCTGGATAGATATTAGGTGTGTATTGCTTATTGATGGATTGTGAACACAAAAATTACGAAGTCTGAAAATAATGCCATAATGCTCTGCGTTTAGGTGTGAAACCTTTTGCTTGTACCATGTGTGACATGAGGTTTGTTCAGCGTTACCACCTGGCAAGACACAGCCTCACTCATACGGGTATGCGTCAGTGCACCTACCCTTCTCACATTTTGTAGGTCATTATTACATAGTCTTTATTGTGGTAATATCAGTAGTGCAACAGTTTAAACTGAGATGTTTAATTTTAGAGAGAGCAAAATTAGTAGTTGTGTTTAAATCTTTTAAGCAATAAGTAAGTTAGTATCTTCTCTTTCAAACATCTGTAACTTTTAATTTAAGTGGGTTAAAGTAGTTTACTTGAAACAATTGACGTCCTCTAGAATATTTAGCACCTTCTAAAAACATTAACCAAAAAAGACTGGAAAAAACCCAGCAGTACAGACACATTTGGCTTCTTCCTGTGCTTTTAAACTCTCCTGTTAAATTTATGGTTACCGCAATGCTTAGAAATAGCTTTTCAGAAAAGCTTTTTTAGTGGGCAATCTTCATTTACCTGAAATGTTTGCTGACATTTTGTTTGCACATTGAAATGTGCTTTAAAGACACTGATTAAGCAAAATGCTTGGTTGGTTATTAATGATGATTTAAATCCTACTATAGTTAACAGGCTATCAACTTGACTGACATAGTGTAAAGGTAATGATTGCAGTGCTCCCCGACTGTAATTGGTACTCTTTAGGATACAGATGGCTAATCATTTTGATTGGTGATATAGCTAAAATGGTCAGTTGTAGTTGCCTTTGTTGCTAAATGTGTTACATTAAAGAAACATTGGACATATCGTTTTGTTTTTTGCATGAATTTGCAAATGTGTGGTTAATAACCAATAGCTTAGGTATTTATGGTAAAGAATGGAAAGTGAGGTAAAGTAATATAATATTGCTACTTTGCATTTAGGTGTGAAACCTTATGCTTGCACCATGTGTGACAAGAGGTTTTTTCAGCGCTACCACCTGGCGAGACACAGCCTCACTCATATGGGTATGCGTCCGCCCACCTTACCCATGTCACTGAGATCAGACTGTACTTACATTATGTTAGATACAGAGTCAGCTGTCTGAGGCAATTATTATTATTCTGTAAAAGTAACTCACATTTTTCTTGATCAAGGCTATCCTACATTATATATGTAAATGCACCATTAAAATTTTACATGTATATAAATACAGGGCTGTGACATCATCAGCTCATGTGATGTGTTTAGCTGTGGATTTGAAATTTGATCAACATATTTCATTGTATTCTTAATTGGACTTAAAAAACATAAACTTGACATGCATTCTTTTTACGAAAATTTCACATTAGAGAAAAGTGGTTAACAACCCATCAATTGTAAATAGATGTTTAAATTACATTACTGATTGATGGATTGTGAAACAAACTAAAAGTCCTGAAAATAATGTATTGATGCTTTGCATTTAGGTGTGAAACCTTTTGCTTGTACCATGTGTGACATGAGGTTTGTTCAGCGTTACCACCTGGCAAGACACAGCCTCACTCATACGGGTATGGGTCCGTGCACCTACCCTTCTCACATTATACAGATCACCATTTATTCATAATTGTGCTAGTATGAGGGATACTTTTGTGTGCTAACAAAAATCTTCAGAAGTTCTTTTTCTGGTAGGTGCTCAGGTTAGTTGCTACTACCACGACATTTAAATTACCAGTACTCCTCATTTCACATTTCTGTAACCTGTACTTAAAAATAGGTTATCTAGCAAAAACTGATTGTTGCCCTCCAGAATTGTTAGCAGGTAGTGTCAACCTCTTGTGTTTTACACACTCTTGTTTAAGCTCATGCCTAGTAAGCAGAAAGCTAGAGACACCATGTGCCATGGAGGTAGCATGTGTCTGTCTGCTTCCCTCTCCTTTAACTTTTAATTCTATCTTGATCCAGATGATCCAGATGGTGTTGGTGAGAATCCTAAAGGGCAGTTTAGATTTACAGTTAGTCTGTTTGGTTAGATGCTGTTTATTTTTGATCAGGCCTTGTTTACCAGCCTTTTGAGTTGATTTTTACTATGTGTATCAGTAATACTGGGGGGCAGTATGAGAACTAAAATGTGAAGCACAGGAGTATGTTGCCCTTTAGCTAGAGTTTGATGTTAATGAACCTGACTCCAGTTCCATTTGGGATTTCTGGTCCAAGTCCTGGCTGCAATTCTTGGTATAATTCTTAGTAATAAAAAAACAAAAGCAAGTAGTGAATCAAAAATATGTTGAAAGTAAAAATATATTTTGGGCTGACAGTCATTTGTCATAAATAAGCACAACTGAAAAGCACAACAATTTCATAGTTTTTGGTCTAAATTTGGAATCAGAATGGGCTCATGAAACCCAACCCTAGTAACAAAACAGGCCGTGTACGACTGTCATTTATTAATCATTGTGAAAGGACTTTTTTTTTCTTTTCTTTTTTTGCAGATCAACACAGAATTTAATTGCATTGTGGCAACTTGTCAAGTATTAATGAAACTCTTGTGAATATTTTTATCTTTTTACAGCATCTTAAAAGTAGCTTTAGTAAACTTGATACCCAGGGACTGGTCCAAAGTCAAACTCAAACCCTTGCAGTAAAAATGGTAAACAATGACTAACTATTTGTTAAAGTTTTGTGGTGTAAATACAGGCATAATAGATCAGAGGTGAGAGGATGCTGAAATAGTCTGGTTATTTCACTGTCAAGTGAGGATGTTACTGATGATTATGCAGACCAAACACAGTCATTTAAATGTTAATCTCACACAGCGCATATGACAGATCTTGGTGTTTTTGCTTTGAAGCCATGTTAAGCTCCACATTATGTTAAGAACATTAAACACAACTGTATTTTTAGATGCATGTCTGAACATTTGAACATATTTTCAAAAAAAGAAAAAAGAAAAGGAAATGCACATCACATATTTAAAATTAGAATGAGTTTATATTTCTGCCAGTGTTTTAGTGTTAGCTTGAGCTTGAAGGTTGTATGTATTGCACATGTGGGTGGTAGGGCTAATATATTGCTCTGTGTGTGTAGGGGTGAAGCCGTATGCTTGTTCCATGTGTGACATGAGGTTTATTCAGCGTAACCACCTGGAGAGACACAGCCTCACTCATACGGGTATGCGTTCCTTTACCGTACCCTTATTACTGAAAGAGGCTCTGGCGCTTGCAACATAACGGGGTCACAACAAACTCGAGTTTGGATTGTCAAGTCATTTGATGGGATGTTGAACCAGCCTCAAAATACTTGCCCCGGTTTTTGGGGCCTCTATGTTGCGTAGATCTGGGCCATGAAAACAAGAAATTCCACTCTGATCTACACATAATGAGTTGATGACGAGGCCTTTTAGAATATCCATTTGCTGAAAGTACACTGTTAAAATTTACTTATAGGGCAGTGTTTTCCAACTTTTTGTAACTGTTGGAAATTTAGTCTGCAAAGAAAAATTAACAAGTGAAAGTTGCACGCTATTTGTTAGTACGAGACTCTAAAATTGATGCATTGACTGTGTATTTGTGTGCTCTTGTAGGAGAGAAGCCATTTGCTTGTGACATGTGTGATATGAGGTTTATCCAGCGCTACCACCTTGAGAGACACAAGCGTGTCCATAGTGGGGAGAAGCCTTATCAGTGTGAACGGTGCCAGCAGGTATGTATGAACCGACACAAAGCAAATAGAATCTAATTTGACATTTATGGTATTCATGTATTGTTTAAATTCGGTCTTTGTTAGACTTGGATGTATAAAATTTACATTATGATTGATATCTTAATATTTTAAAATAGACTTGTCTTTGTTGTTGTGTCTTGGTCTGAATGCTATTTAAGTATTAACCCCCATATGTGCCTTAATTATTAACAATGTCCAATTTGTGTTTCAAAGAACTTTTCTCGGACAGACCGGCTGTTGCGGCATCGGCGGTTGTGCCAGGGTCGCAGTGTAGCCAAAGTAGAGAACCAGCCATGCTGCGAACCACGCCCATATCCCCAAGAGCCCCCACCCGCACCTCCAACCTGGAGTCCCCTGCATCCCCCTCCAGGCCGGCTGGCGGTCTGACATTCCACCTTCCCTACATCTACAACCCCGCCAGAGACGGGACAAGCCACAGGGTTTCTTCTTCTCAGCTCTGTGCTTAGTGGCGCCACACTCTAGCACAGACTGATCTTGCAGCTCCAGTCTTGGGATTACTAATGACAGAGGGACATTTGTGTTTTTGTTTTGTTGACTTTTTACTGTGTTTCCTTTTTCTTCCCTGTTTTTTTAAAAGACGAGACTTTTCTGTGATGAACAGTGGTCCTGTTTTGTACTTAATCTATTTGATTTTTGCAAAAAGAAAAAGGTTTTTATTATTGTTGAAATATATCTGCATTTGGTGGTACTCGGGAAGGGCAGTGGGTATTGTTTATCCTGACGTGTTAGCAACAAAATGGGATGAAGTGGTGAGGAAAAGTATTTGAGCTTCTTTCTGATTTTTCCTACGTGGCCAATTTTGTCACAAAAGGATTGTCACTTAGGTCAAAATTGATAAAACTGAACTTTCCTTCAAGGTAAAGTAAGGAAACCACTCTATTGACCTCTCATGTCAACCAGATCTTGCTTGCCTTTGCAGCTAACATAACGTTTAGCATTAAGACATTTCACTGAAAGCAGTATCTGGTCTAAATATGACTCAAACAAAATTTCCCTGACTTCATCAATATAGGAGGTACAGTTTTAATGATTACTTTGTGTACATAATTGAAAATGATTATTATTATTTCGCTACAGGACTTGAGTGGTGATTTTTTTTTTTTTTTTTTTTGATATGAACAAAATGGGCCAAAAAGAAACAGAAAATTTGAAATTTGGTTCAAATACGGTCTGTTGCCATTGCTTCAGTGAGATCCTGAGGGAACTTGGAGTGTATCAGACAGTAATATCAGACAGTGCTTCATAACTGTAAACCAGGACTTCCAAGACTTCATGAGATCATCATGAGAGGGCAACCTGCAGTTGACTAGTTGTGTCAGACATGAAGGGTTGGGTCACAGGAGTATCACCTGTGTACCTTGTGTTCTGTGTCATGTATGACATACTGATGACTCAGGAAATGGCACAGGGTGGCAGCCTTAGTAAGTCCTCCTCCTGAGTTATGCTATTGTACTTACCACTGTATATATTTTGAGTATATATACAGAGATCTCCAGTACTTAGCGCAAAACTGTCTCTCTCAGTTGTCCATAGATCCTGGTCTAAAATGGTGCAGGTTGGCCACTTGAAGTCCCATTATGTTGTTTGTACAGATTCTCACATTGTGAGATTAGTGGGGGTATACAAAATCTTGTGGCCTTAGTGTGTTTCTTTTTTCATTTGCCTTTTTCTCAACTGTTTATTATTGTGGATCAGATGTATTTACTAAGACGAGACAGCCTTTCATCATCATGTTTTTTTTGTTTTTTGTTTTTTTTTATCCTAAAGCTGTCAAGGTTACACAGAGTTGATGGCTTTAGTGGTGTTAAAACAGACTAATGTGTTCTCCTGTCGAGAGAGGTTGTCTTTATAATGGCAATGAATATTTTGGGTCATTGTTACTGATAACATTATAACACCGTATATAATCTTAAAGGAGCCCCTGAGAGTTGGACAGTCCTTGTGAGAAGTCAGTAGTGCTAAATTGTTTCCCACTGCAGTGCTTTGGCCGGTCACAGGCCATAGCAGAATCAGCACTTGCTTGATTCTGCTTCACACTAACAATTGCCTTTTTATCCAAATATTATGTGGTTGGTGTGTAATAATGGATGTCTGTCATGTCATTGGGTTTAGCCTTAAGTAAGTGCGGATACACAAATAATAATCATTGTAGTACTAAATGATATTGTAACGAACGATTTCTTTTACCTATGATGAACTTTGATCGTATTGTGTGGAAGTCTTTGACTTTGGTCGGACAGCAGAGAGACAGTTGATAAGAGCCACTGTGCTCCCTGTTGAAGGATTTCTCAAACTTGATCCTTTCTGTGACTGTTGAGTTGGTGATGGCTCTGTCTTAACCGTGCTGTTTAACCCAGAAATCAGTGCTGGGTGGGAGGATTAGTTTACAAGGCCGAACATACGTGTGCATATCAAGACATTACAGCTGTTCTTTGAAGCCACATTGAGTAACAGATGGCTGAAAACCATCAAGGGTGATTTCAGGGCAGTCTGATTTGAATCACACTGAGCTGAGAGAGAGAATTTGTTTTTGTCTTTTTTAAATAGTTTTTATTTAAATGTCTAGATAAGACTGATGGAAGACTGAGATGGAAACCCTGAGTGCTTTATCCAGTCTTTGATTTGTAGGATGAAATGATGTTTGTGTTTGATACGAACAAGTTGCAGATTACTGAGTTAATAGATTTTTTTTTTTTTTTTTTTTTTTTTTTAAACCAAAAGTATTATGGGAAGATTTTCTTTAAATGGTCCATTGATATCAAGACAAAGCAGTGTGAACCAAGAGGGGGATTCAGTTTTAAGTGACTTGGAAGGGTAAAGTAAAACCCAGTGGCAGCAAAGGGGCCAAGTTTGAGAAATGCATTAACTTGCTCTGGAAACACTATTCCAAATCTGTGGAAGGGATACTGCTGGCACGAGCACATTACTGATAATGGCTAAAGGGCAATACAGTATATAGTTGACGTCACTTGTTAATACCTTTTTGTCATTTATTGTTTTTAGTATTATCAATCTCATTGTTAAAATGCAATAGAATCCTTGAGTCTCAGATCATTTGTTTATAAGATTGAGGTTTTAATTTTTCAGACAGATCAAAGGATTTATTTGCCTGAGAATTTCTCATCACATTTTGATGATTGTTTCAAGGACCTTTTTTTTTTTTATTCTGATAAAATTGTAAACACTGGAGTGAAAGGAAAAAAAGACAAAAAAGAGAGATGGATATTTTTTCCTTCAGACTGTACTAGATTTTAGGTTTTAGACAAAGCCTATTTCTCCTCAACTTGACACAGAAAGTGGACAGAACAATTTGGATCAGTACAGTTGAGAGCCCAGTATGTTCAGTAATTTTAACAATAGAGGCAGTAGTACCACAGGAAAATGTTTTCTTTCTTATACAAAGTCCCTGGTATTTGTAGTAAATTATATTGATAATGGTATTAGATGAACAACAGCATAACAGTAGCTATCACAGATTAGTTGTTTTCTTTATTAGTCTTGCATGCAGAGTTATGGTCCTCAGTTAAGATAGGATCTTGATATTGATTATTTTGTGTAGGAAAATGAGTGCTTAAGAATAACTTCCTAAAAAAATGTTACAATGATTATTGTAAAATGGGCTAACTAATATGTACCCTTGTGATCCAATTAGTTTCAACTGTATGAAAATCAGAGGAGAGGCTTCTTACTATTATGCTGAAATAAAATACTTTGTAAAGGACTTCTGTATGCTCACTGGATGTGTTGACTTGATTTTGATGTTTTTCAATTCAGACACTTACAGTACCAGTCAAAAGTTGAGACACACCTTCTAATTCAATGGTTTTTCTTTTTCTACATTGTAGAATGATGCTGAAGACATAAAAACTATGGAATAACACATGGAATTATGTAGTAAACAAAAAGTGTAGACAAATGTTTTAGATTCTTCAAAGTAGCCACCGTTTGCTTTGATGACAGCTTTGCACACTCTTGCCATTCTCTAAAACATCTTCATGAGGTAGTCACCATGAATGGTTTCAAAGTCTTGAAGGAGTTCCCATATATGTTGTGCATTTGGCTGCTCTTCTTTCACTGTCATCCAACTCATTCCAAACCATTTTAATTTTGGGTTTAGGGCGGGGGATTGTGGAGGCCAGGTCATCTGAACAGGCTTTACATGGCCTAGAGATGTGTTTTGGGTCATTGTCCTGTTAAAAAACAAATGATGGTCCCACTAGGCGCAAACCAGATGGGATGGCATGTCGCTGCAGAATGCTGTGGTTGTGATGTTGGTTTAGTGTGCTTTCAATTTTGAATAAATCAACAGTGTCAAACCTCCTCCGTGCTTTCGCGGTGGTAACCACATGGAGATACCATCTGTTCCCCTTTTCTGCATCTCACAAAGACATGGTAGTTGGAACCAAAAATCTTAAATTTGGACTCATTACACCAAAGTACTGATTGCCACTGGTCTAATGTACATCCCTTGGGTTTCTTGGCCCAAGCAATTCTCACCTTATTGGCTTCCCTCAGTAGTGGTTTCTTTGCAGCAGACCATGCAGTCTCCTCCGATTAGTTGATGTTGAGATGTTTTTGCTACTTGAACTCTGAAGCATTTACGTAGGCTCTAATCTGAAGAGCTACGTAATAATTGATTTTTGAGGTTGGAAATTCTAATGAACTTATCCTCTGCAGCATTTTCCAGACTGACTGACCTTCATGTCTTAATGATGGACTGTCTATTGACTGTATACCAACCACGACACAACACAGCTGATGGTCTCAAATGCATTAAGGCAAGATATTCGACTAGTTAACTTTTGACAAGGCACACCTGTTAATTGAAAAGCATTCCAGGTGACTACCATGAAGCTGATTAAGCTAATGCCAATATTATGAAAAGCTGTCATCAAGGTAAATGGTGGCTAATTTAAAATACAACTTACACTTTTTTGTTTACTACATAATTCCATGTGTTATTTCACAGGTCTGGTGTCTTCAGTATTGTTCTACAATGTAGAAAATAGTCAAAATAAAGAAAAAACTATGAATGGGTAGGTGTGTCCAAACTTTTGACTGGTGCTGTAAGTAGAATGAAATGGATGAATCTGACAGAGTGTATTTGGTCAGCCAAACTTAGTACCCAGTGGTTAGTTCAAGTGTCACCTTTGCCAACAGTACACTCAATAAGGTCCTCAGCTGTAATGACACCAGTGTTACTGTAGAGGGCAGCAGCCGCTTTGAATGCGCAGGAAGAAGACGCCGAGGAAGAAAATACTCCGTATGTTGGAAGAATTTCATGATTATCAAAAGTGTTCAACTTTAGGCAGTCAGTGTCAAAACCTTATCAAAGCTGGCAGAACATAACGTTAATGTTACGTTTTTACCTGACAAACAGGAACTTGTTTCATACGACCGCAGTCGAAAATGTTAGATGACAACACGCCTGCACAGGAATCGGGTAAGCTAGCTTGTGGAGACGGAGAGAAGGAAGTGGCTTTGTGTGAGGCAAATGAGCAGGGATTTAAACCGGCGCCGGAGGTGAACATGACGCCCTCCTCCAGGTTTCTGCAGGTTGAACTGGAGCTGAACGTCCACCTCCGTCGGCTCACCTTCAGCAACCCTGTCCGGTACATCTACAACCCGCTGGAGTACGCCTGGGAAACACACCGCTGCTACGTGGAGAAGTATTGCCAGACCGGACAAAGGATCCTATTTTTGGGGATGAACCCAGGACCTTTCGGCATGGCACAGACTGGGGTGAGCAGTGCGTTTAGACAGTTGCATTTTCTTTCAAGTTAGCATGATAAACACGCTAATCAACACAGGATGTCGCACAGATGGTCTGTACCCAAGGTAACCCAAACAACAACCTGCCTTTCTTAACTGACTTGCCTTATCTGAAAAAAATCATCAATTCCCTTCCCTTCCTTGAGTTCTGCATGATCTACTAGCACCTTGCAAGAACAGGTGTTGGCTTTCCTTTTGCCCTTTATAATAATAATAATAATAATAATAATAATAATAATTAATAATACAAAACTTTATTTGTGTAGCACCTTTCATATAAGCACAAAGTGTTTTACAACAAAGAAATTAAGCATCAAGTGCATAACACAAAAAGATAAAAGGAACATTAAAACAAAGTGAAAACATTAAAACGTGTTAAAAGCATTAATGTAATATGAAATTCATATACTTCACCATAATATAATGAGACCAAATGACTGTGATATTACTCTGAAAATGCATTATGCATTTAGAATGAGTTCAAATCAAGGTCATTAAAGCAAGTGGATTCAGCATGATCTATCTTGACTACCTGTCCTATGGAGGGTCTGTCTATTAAAATGAACCTGCAACATATTCCTACATAAATTTGTAGATGATCAAATGGGGCCCTCAGCTCATTTTTGCCCCAGGGCCACGTGCTAGATCACATTCACACTTAGTTAAGTCTATATTTTCCAAGGTTTCCTCACCAGATGTTTGTGTGATGGTTACTTACTGTATAGCAAACTTAAATTTCAAACTTGTTAAAACTTGACTGTGGTGAAGTGACTATGATGTGTTTAATAGAGTTTAAATGATCTACTTTTCTTTGCAAAGGTCCCCTTTGGTGAAGTGAAGTCAGTTGTTGATTGGCTGAAGATCACAGGGGAGGTCGGTCATCCTCAGAACGAGCATCCAAAGCGGCGGATCACAGGACTCGCGTGTACTCAGAGTGAAGTTAGCGGTGCACGTTTTTGGGGCTTCTTCAGAAAGTTGTGTGGTGAACCAGCACTGTTCTTCCGCCACTGCTTTGTGCACAACCTTTGCCCACTGATTTTCATGAGCGAGAGTGGGAAGAATTTGACTCCTCCTGAGTTGCTGGCAGCTGAGCGGGAGGCCCTTCTGGCCCTGTGTGATATTGCACTGTGCCAGGCGGTGCAGGCACTGGGCGTCTCCATGGTGATTGGAGTTGGGAAGGTTGCAGAGCAGCGGGCACGGCGAGCGCTCTCTGCTGCAGATGTCAATGTGCGAGTTGAGGGCATCATGCATCCGTCGCCTAGGAACCCACTAGCCAATAAGGGCTGGGAGGAAGTAGCCAAAGCCAAACTGGTAGAACTGGATGTCATGTCGCTACTGAGCAACCCATGAGCTAATCTCACATCAGTAAGTGTGTCTGTGTCTGAGCAAACGTTTCCACCTTCGCTGACAATCGCAGCAAACAGCTCCAAGAAGAGCTTGTACACAAATGCTGTAAACACATCTGCTCAGCTGCTGTATTTTTTATTCTGCTGTAAACATCTGTCTGTTTTCATTTGGAGATGGTTTTCTATATAGATCAGTGGATGGAGCATGGCACTAGGTTAAGGTCAATTTATTCTAAAAGTATTATTACACTACTCTAACTTTAAGGTGCTTCATATCTAAAGAATAAGCTCTGGGTGTTTTTGTCAAACAATACTGTAAAACAGTATTTTAAAAAAAGGCCTATACTTAAAATGTGTATGTAAGTACGTTCAGCCTTGTCACAGTCATATTAGCTGGTAAATTTGTCATTTGATTCTCATATGAAATAACAATTTTAGTTAATTACTACAACTGACTGTGACATTTGATTGGTATAGAAAAGACTTGTAAAGAAACAACCTGTAAACATTACAAAGTCTATTTTGTAAACATACAGTTGTACATATTGTTGATGCTGGACTACTGCAGAGGACTATTCTTTTGTATTCTTTTTCAAACATTCTTTTTAATTGTCATTTGTTTTGATAATGTTTTATTCATTTACACACTTTATTTTTTCTAGAATTTTACCAATCCTGTTTATTTCTGGTCTCTTTGAATAAAGAGTTTCTTGTTTAAATAAACCTAGAATAATGAAATACGAGATACTTTCCTTTCCTTATCTCCTTATCTTTACTTTCTGGTACTCCAAAGATGAAAGTATGACTGACAGCAAAAGCTAATATTTAGCATGTTAGCATGACAATATGCAAACATCCAGCATATTCTGTCCTGTCATGAAGTGACGTGTTGGACAAGTGGATGTTTTCACTTGTTGGTGGAGCCAGATGAAAACAAGTCCCAGTAGAAAAAAGCACAAGTGTAAATAATGAAAATAATAAAATGATGCCCGAATTAAATTTAGCTGCTTCATTTTCAGGGTATTTATGTTGGATGACTGGCATGTTTACTGAGACACTTGAATATAACAGAGCCTGTACTTTTCCTACAACAAATCTCTGCTATGGGAAAAAAGAGGCATATCTGCTTTGTAAACCTACCACCTCTGCCCACACCCACGTGTGGCCAAAATCAGTAGTGTTTGATTTTTCAGAAATTCCAGCAGCAGCATTATCTAAGCCTCTGTAGTTTTCCGCATGTTGGGAGCCCTGAATTTGAATGAGATACAAACAAAATGAATGGAGACCTTTGAAAGCTGCTTTTCCTGCCCACAACTGCAAGCAAGCAATTAAAATAAAGTTTTCCACCAATGCCGCATGGACAACAGAATTTCCCCCTGGCATTTAGAGTCGCAGCGGTATAAAGGAAATGGTGTCATGCAGTTATGGTTGGAAGATGGACTTGAGAGCAAGTAATTTATTGCAAAGTAACTAATGAAAAATGTTTGAAATTCATCACCAGGCACATGAGCCAGATCTGTGTTAATGGAGATGTCCACCATTTGGCATCAGTACAGCCTATGACATTATTCACACACTGCGGCCTACGCTGGTTGTCTGCCATGAAAATGTTCATGGCTCTGTCTTTGTGATGTTGAACTCACTTTTGACCATATGAATCCCCAAACACAGCAAAAACATCGCTCACTTGTTTAAAGTGGTTGTGTGATAAAACTACGCTGCCACCAAGTGTTCATAACTGAGACTACATTTCTTAGGCAATCTCAGCTAATCTTATTTATAAAAAAAAAAAAAAAGCTTATAGACGCTTATACATCTAGGCTGAATCCAAGTTACTCAAACATAGCAGTGGCTGATGAGTTTCACCCGAAATACTGTTGATAATTCTTCAAGTCTGTCACTGTCTCTGCATTTTCAAAGCAAACTAATGCAGAACCATCCACACAGTGTGTGAGTCACACAATAAAGTGCCTCATATTGTGGAGGTGTGTAGCTGCATTTCAGGGTTCTGATCTCAGGACAGTGAGCTCACTTAATTTGTTATTAAGAGAAATGTTTAGCCTTGAGCATAGTGCCCCCCTCCCCCTGTCCTGACCCCCCTCCTCCTCTGTGCCTACTAAGAATTGCAATGAGCAAGAACTACCAGCAGCAGATCTTGTATCCCACAGCTGTGTGATTTAATGGGAGTTGAAGTCCACAGCATTGCGTTGCCTTGTGATGAGCTGTGTATCCCTGAACTGCATCTCCCATGAGGCAGCCAGCATCACTAATTTTACTTGGGGTCCACATGGTTCCGGGGAGGTTGTGAAACTCTTGCACCTGACAGGATTGCTCATCACTGTCTACAGACTGATGCACAGCTCTATCCTTCATGAGATAGCAGAAAACACATCACATTCATTTCTCAGCGGAATAAGGTAAGATTCAAAACATTGCCACCACACAGCTCATTCATTTTAAATTCATTAAATCCAAGCATACAATTATTAACTGTTCTTAGACAGCCATAGTGGCTTAACAAGACCAATAACAAGCAACAAACAACTGCACTTAACAAGACCAATAACAAAAGGCAAGATTATCATATTGTGAATAAAAAATATTGAAGATATTAAAATGTTTTGAATGTTATGAAAATGTTTTTATTTTTTTAAATTAATGGCATACATTTAAGAAGAAATTATTGCTAAATTGAAAATGTAATTAAAATGTGCCATTTTATTTGTGTTCAAACTATTTATGAATGCAGTTATGATGAAAATAATCATAGTTTCAGTATTGGAATATAAATTGGAATTATTGGTTGACTAAGGACTATCTTTTATGATCCATAACTAATTCTAAAACCTGTATTTCATCAAGAGTTTGATATAATTTATGATATAGATTGATTGTTGATCATTTTTATTGTTGAAATCATTTAAAAAGATGTGTTCAGAGCTACAAACAATCATCAGGATATCTTTGCTTTTTCACAGACTGCATGGTATAACCTCAGTGCGCAGTGGGCATATGAGCTTGTTGTTTATAAACATATTGTGGGGCCATAGGTGACCGGTGTTATGACCACGCAGCATTGCTGAACTGACTCTGCTATCGGCTTTCATCAGCTGTTCTCCTCCAGACTGAAACTGGAGCACATTTCACTGGATCCTTTCTTCCTAAACAGCTCAGCTTCCTATAACCATGGATAAACAGTTCACAGTGGTGTTTCGAAATGTGGGGCAACTGTACTTCCCCCAAACCAGAGTGGAGTGCCACTACAGTCTGACCTCTGACCATCAGTGGAGCAGCAAAGACTGGATAGGGATTTTTGAGGTACATTCACCCACCCTCTCCATTCACACACACACACACACACACACAAAAAAAAAAACTCAATTTGTTTTAGCAAAATAAGTTATGTGTCTCAATACTGATGGAGATGCACATTTGTATTGTTTGTGGCTTAAAATGTGTTTGCTATCATGCCACAGATGGGCTGGTCTTCAATGAAAGAGTATTACACATATACATGGGCTCTTGTTCCTGAAGGGTACACCGAGGGAACCAGTGTAAACTGCTGTGCACTTTTTCACGGTAAGAATTCAGCCAAAAAACAAACAAACAAATAAACATATGACACAGAGAATAGTTCAACAGGTATTACAACAGGCCTCTGGTTTAAAGTTTGTGGTCAGAGGTGTGCTGTGTTGCACCTGTGACCAACAGTGATGTCACGGTGAACTGAAACTCCTATAGACATCTACATCACTGCAGCAAGGTAAAAAATTAAACCACTCGAGGTCGGCGAAAACAAGATATTCTATCGTTGTTAAGTTCTTGGGACAAAAGTTGTTTATTATATCACAAACAGCAATTCAGAAACAACACAGAGTTTAACTAGTGTGACCATTTTTGCAAATTTGAGGTGCCTTGACTTGCTTTCACCCTCAATTCAAGTTCATTTGCACGTCATTGTGATCTCACTGAGAGCTTGTTTTGCTCATTTTTAAAGAATAAAAAAAAGAACAACTAAAGTACAACAAGAAATATCTGCTCGATACAGCATGTTACCTGCCCCGTCCCAGTACCGTGGAGTACCAGTTCGTGTACGTGGATAAGATGGGTAAGGTGTGTGCCCGCAGTCGACCATTCACTTTCTGTGCTCCCAAGCCGCTGGAGGAGCTGGAGACTCTGAAAGAGGAACGAGACGAGGAGGACGGCGAGGAGGAGCTGCTCCTGGTCATCCCCAGGGCCCAGCTGCTGCAGGTGGGAAGAGAGAAAAAAAACCATTCCAGATAAGCATCCCCATCTTGATAATGAGAAGTTGGGTATTTGACAGAATAGTGTAACGTTTAATCAGCTGTTTATATTCCATTTAATTAATGTAAACCTCCCTGTTCCCCCTCCCTGTTGTGAGCAGAGTCGACTGGAGGAATGCTTAAAAAAACAAGCCGATTTACAGCAGGCTCTGGACGAGGCAAAAGAGGAGAGAGAGAGTGAGAAAGAGAACAGCAGAAAAGAAAGGATGGAGTGGGAGAGTGAGAGAGAAGCAATGACGGAGGAAATCTCAGAGCTTAAGGACAACCTGAGACACAAGTGCGACATGTTGAAGAAGATGGAGGGAAAACACAAGGTAAGTGCAGCACTTTTTTTTTTTTTTTTTTAGCTCCATAAAGAGTTGAATTTCTTTAATGGCTGAGGGCTGAGGTTTCTGGCTAAGGGAAATACATATGATAAAGTTTCTATAATATTTTTTCTTCTCTCCACAATACTAAAAGGATGTGAAGTATAGTCAGGAAAATCTGACCTCTGAACTGAGTAAACTTATGGCCGACAAGGCTCAGAGCGAGCAGCGAATCAAAGACCTGGAGGACGATGTCACAGTTCTGACTGACAGGGAGAAAGAGGGAAACATGGAACTGGAAAGGCAAGTGTTTGAGACATTGGCTAGTTCAAACATTTGTCTTAGTCTTATCTAGTCCCTGGATCCTAAAACTAACCCTATTTGCTATCCCTGCTCTGCACAGGCTGAAGGAGAGAGTGAAGAAAATGTCCAGTCAAATGAAACACGATGAGGAAAAGAGAAAGTCTCTGCAGGTTATTGGTTGACACTTCTTCTTCTCTTGTGAAACATGGATAGCTTGAAAGGGGGATAGAGGACACACAGGTCTGTAAAAGTTCCAGTAAGGACTCAACAACTTACTGGAACCAGGCCAGATTTAGATGTTTAGGTGTCTTATCAGCAGTGGGAGTAAGAATGTTTAAATTAAACTAAGAAGTAGAACATGAGAAGTTTCCTGTTTCTTCTTATGGCTTTATCAGTCAAGAGTTGTGACAGCTAAAACATTTTTGTCCCCCATTGCTATTTCTGCACTCATCTTCCTCCTGTTGTCTTTCTTCAGGTGGAGAACGAGGCTGGTCTGGTGGAGGTACGAGGGCTGCAGGAGCATATGGATGCTTGCGAGCACGTAGCCGAGACCCTGCGCAGAGAGCTGAGGGAGCTGGGCACCCGTCAGGCCCACACTCAGACCGAGCTGCACCAAGCCCGGCTGCAAGTGGCCCAGCTCACCCTGCAGCTGTCCGAGGAGAACCTGGTCTTCAGGGAGGAGCGCGCCAACTGGGCTCTGGAGAGAGAGGCTTACAAACACGCAGCAGAGGCGAGGATATGGCAGAGCCTGATCCTGCACGTGCATGATAGATATATGGGACTTTGCGGTTAAACTTGCTGCATGTTTTTGTTTTCATGCAGGCCGAGAAAAACAAATTGCAAGAAGTGAGCTGTGAGGTGCAGAGGAAGGAGGACTGGCTCCAGGAGGAGAGGATGGAGAGGGAGAAACTAGAAGTAGAGCTTGGGAGAGAGAGAGATTGTAATCGAGTAAGTAAATCAAATTGCATTGCAATTATATCATTTAATACACAAACACATTCAGCTCTAAATATAACTGCTGGAGTGCTGCAGAGCTGCATCATCAGTAGTTCAGGTTCCATTTTGGAAACTGGAGAACCAAGCCAGAATTCAGCGCAGTTCTTTCATTACTCACATGCGGGCACAAATAGAAAGCCCTTCCAGGAACAGTGAGTAAACATTTCCTCTCACTGCCGCGTGATCAACAGCAGGAAAAGAGGACAAGCCATGTCAGATGCGTGGTGTTCACATGGTCTGAGAATAATGCTGCTGCCCCCTGTAGGTGCTGCTGAGTGATGCCAAGCGAGAGCTGCAGGAGCTGAAGGCCAGTCTGAGGAAAGCCCAGATGGAGAGCGAGGAGCAGCAGCTTGAGAAACAGGCAAGAATTTCACATCAGACCTCACACACGTCCAGAAACATATTTCTTCATAAAATGGTTGTTCTTCCCTCGCCATAAAATATCAAGTGTCTGTACCGCTACCATATCTGCTGCGCTGGCTGACCCCTGTCAAATGTGAAAGTACAAGAACACAATTTGAATGAAACACCCCCCCCACCCCCACCCCAATTATCTTTTTATTGTTCTCCAAGAAACAGAAAATGTCTATAACAAAACCAAAGTAAAGAAAAGAAAGAGAGACAAATAGATAAACTATTCCAGGCAGGTATACTGGGGTCCAAGAATCGGATGCACCTCAGAACCAAAGTTGCATAGACTCAAATACGTGAAATCATAAGTCAGAAGTTTCCAGATTTCAAGCTGATATTTACAGTCAACATGTAACACAAATGATTTAATGCTAAGAATAATATCTTTTAAAAAAGAAAAGAAAACTTTCATAACCTCAAAAAAATGTTATTGCTATAGTATATTTCTGCTTACATTTTGGAAACCACTTCATTATATTCAGTCTATTCAGTTCTTCCGTCTTGTTGTCTTTTCTTCAAATCTTCATATCTACGGGTTTGAACTCGGACACTTGTAGGACCTGGTGAACTACATCTGTCGGCTGGAGCACAGGTTGGGGATTGTGCCAGAAACTAAATCAAATGAAGAAATCGCCAGATCTATATGTGAGTGATGAAATCCTCACACAGTACACATCACTACAATTCCACTGCCCTGTAATGAACACGTAGGTAAGGAGTCTATATTGATTCAAACAGCTCCTGACTCTTCCTCTGAGGATGACGAGGATGCTTCCCCAGCTTCCTCCAGATCAATTTCTTCTCCTCTCTTCCTGTCCGCTCACCTGGAATGGTCCAACGGAGATGAGATCCCTGCTGAGATGCACATACAGAGCAAAAAAGACACACCAGTCTCCGACACACAGGTACGCCATCCTATTCACACGCAAACCAAACAAGGATTTACACCACCTGCTTTTGGTGCCAACAGACCGGAGTGGGCAAATATTTGACCATAGTTTCCCGACAGTTTCTGCTCCAGCTCCATTGTTGCACACCTGGGTTGAATGCTGACTCATAGAAACATGTCATGAAAATGTATTTTATCTTATTGGATCAGGTTTACAAAGACGCTTGCAAATCAGGAACACAGAAGCTGTAAATTCACAGAAAACCACAGGTTCATTACCACAGATAAATTATTGTCTCCTACAGCTTAACTGAATAAACAATTTCTTTCAGACATATTTATAACACGTTTATGCAAAAACAAAATGTTATTAAGTTAAATTTGACCTCAACCACATCTTCCTGTTCAGTTATGAGCTTTCTTATCTATGTGTCATGATACCTTGTTTTACAAACATTTTTTTTTAGATTAATTAATTAATTAATTAATTAATTGTACTTTATTTTGAAATCAGATTCAGATTATATTTGACGATATACAGTTTAAGATTAATATATAAAATGAACACAAGCACTGTACCTTCTGTCAGTGATAGATGCAGTATTAGCCATCAGACTTGACAAAGACAAACACTCATCAATGTCACTGGTTCTTATGGAAATATTTTGCATCCTTTTATCATTAAAAGACAGTTAAAGTTGCAGTTTACATCCTTCTCGACTTCTGTTTTTTTTTCCAACTCAGGATGAGACGAAGCAGCGCTGCGAGCCCCGAGCAGGAGAAGGGAAGCAACTGATCCTACCAGAACTCATCAACCCCATCCTGAGGTGACAAAGCTGGCTGTTACACCAGTCACACTACACACCCTGGAGTCTGAGAGACACAGGATTTCTTAACTTTTTTTACTCTCAGTTTCGTCTGTTTATTTATTTATTTTTCTATCATCACCACTTTCTGTAAAACTTTTTTATTTTATTTTCCTTCTCTCTGCAGTGAGCTGGCTGACTCCCCCATGTGGTAACACAGAGACGGATGGCTGAATGGCAAGCTGCTTGTTTACCACCGCAATGCACATTCATGAGAAACCCGGGTAACATTTTGAGATCATTCTATTGTTGTTTTCTAGCTGTTCATGCAGATAATGGCCTTCACAAAGGTCACGATGTAGATCCTTTACCTTGTGAGTGCCTGAATTCAAAGAAAACATAGCACAATTTGTCAGTGTTAAGTGTTTGTTTTATCAGCGAGGCTAATGGTTTTTCTTACTGGTTTAGAATTAAAACTCAGGATGAACACTGGGAGATCATAAGATATTTTTTGTCAGCATATGCGTCTCATCTTCATGTTCACATTCAGACTTTCATATGCAGACACCAACTGTCCAGGAATGTGTTTCAATGTATTTAAGACTTGATTTCTAACTTTTTTTTGGCTTTTTTTTTTTTTTTTTGGCTTTTGAGTTGATTAAAATGTGAATATGTTGTAACATATGTGAGAAAAATAGCAAAAGATGCCACAATTAGCTTTAATTTAACACATTAGATCCTGTTTTGGCGGCATAACAGCCCCCTTTAACCTCTGCATGTGAGTGTGAATCCTGAAACCATGTCAAATGTGTGGGTGTGTGTTACAGACACGTGTGAAATGTTCTGTTGCAACTTGTTGAGCAGAATGTCGAGTTGGAAAAGACATGTAGGTTTATTTATGATACTTTTCTCTATTGATCTGAGCTTCTGTTGGAGTTCTTTAATAAAATTGATAATAACCACATGTTGATGGCAGTCTGTATTTTGGTGAAAGTGTGTGAGGTCTTACTCTTTTAAAGGAATATTTACCATTTTGTCTTACAAAACAGAAATAACGACTGTTAGCTGTGTTGACTTTACATGTAAAAGTGTGTAAAGTGACGACAAAGAAGATGACAACTGGACACTGAAAGGTCTGAGAACAAAAAGCGCCTTTATAAAAATACAAGAAAGACAACAACAAATAACAAATGAGCAACAATAAGCAACAAATTAGCCAAAAAAAGTATTAATTTTTCATAAAAATATAAAAACAAGAACTGATCAGCCTAGTCTTTGTGTTTCTGAGTGTGTGTGTGTGTGTATGTGTGTGTGTGTATGTGTGTGTGTGTGTGTGTGTGTGTGTGTGTATGAGAGCTATTTTGGTACAAGTCAAATTGAAACAGAACTCATGAGGTGCCTGAATCCCTGAACATGAAGACAAGTTATTTGCACGCTACAGAGTCTGTGTTTATAAAAAGTAAGACATCTGTTAAAAAACAACAACAACAACAAAATATATAAAATACAGAGATAAAATGGTTCTAGCTTCAAAGGTCATTTGAAATCATGAAATCTCCCACAATTCAAAATGAATATATTTAACATCAATGACATTAATAGATTTTTTTTCTTTTTGTAATTGCTTTTATTTTGTTTTGTCCAAATGTAATGTAACGTCTGTCTTTGGCCTTTTTCAATTTTTTTTTTTTTTTTTTATTCACATGCTTTGTATAGAGCTTTGGCTTTTGCGGTCTCTCCCAAGGCTTATTTATTGCACCAGCTCAAATTAGAGAAAAGAAAAATAGATAATAGAAACAGGAAAACAATTTATTATGAAATAATCATGCTTATGAGATGCAGAAACATATTTAAATACTCAATAACATAGTATGTAGAATTGGCTGATGATGTGCAAAATATCGACTCTGTGTGTGTGTGTGTGTGTGTTTGTGTTTGTGTGCGCCTTTGTGTGTTTGACGGAGGAAAAGACACAGAGTGAGAAAAAAAACACTCAAGGTTTACCTCAGTCACATGGTTGTAATGATTCTGTCCTGGAATCGCAAAATCACAATTCAAGAGTCTAAGAAAAAAAAAACATCATAATGGTGTCATTGTTGATTGTTTAATACTTAGATCAATTTCTGTGTCCTTGATGGCTTTACATCTGGTGCTAAAGACCCATCTAACTTCAGAACTACTGGTGTATTGGCACAACGATCTTATAGGAGCCGTTCTTCTGCTTCTCACTTGAAACTTAATTTTTATCCCTCCTATATGGACAAGCCACATCAACTGTGTTGCAGCGGTTCTGCTGTAATGCTTTGGCGCCGTGGAGGACAACGTGCTGATGGAGAATCTTTTCCCTTACAACTATCAAGGAGTTCAATAAGACTCACATTGTCTTTCATTACACAAAGAATGAAACAATTTTATACATCTTACATTAAAAAAAAAACTTGTATAGTCTCAGTGAAAAACAAATTATAGTTATTTATTTTACAAAATCCATGTTTTTGCATCACTTCTTAGATACAGCACACATGAACACACACTGTTTCAAACTGTCGTCCTATGCTTCAGCGGGCACGTCGCCCAATGTCAATTATTTGTTTTGTTGATGATGTTGGACGGCTGCAACCTCAAAGATGTGAAGTGCAATATTTATTGCTATTTCTGTGATTTTTTATCAGCTTGCATCAATGTCCTACTGTCCACCAGGAGGTGAGTGATTGCTTTGAAATCTTTTAAAAAGCCTTTTGTTTTTTTTTTTGTTTTTTTTTACTACAAAACCCATTTTGTGTGCCTTTATGAGATACTCTTAATTTGACTTTTGCATAATATGCTCACTGCGGATTATGGCGGTAATGACAGTCACATCTTTACAACATCACTCTGTGTATTGGTAAATGCTTTCAGTTACACGTTCATGCACGCGCACACGCACACACACACACACACACATACACACCTGAGGTTTTCTCTGAAGTAAACTGCTTTTAAGGGTTATATTTGTTTAGATGATTTGATGACTCACACTTACACAATGAAAATCTTATGGCTTACCTCTGAGTACAGCACAGCCAACAACTTAAATTTGTAATCGTTCCTTCTCCTTGATGAAAGAAGATCTTTGTTGTTGAGGATGGGGAAGTTACCGACAGAGCATTCACACCAGCAGTTTTCTTAGAAAATACTGACAGGTGAGACGTGGCCCTGATAGAATCAACCTGAGCTTGTGTGTTGATGTTAAATCTACGCTTTAGATTCTTTAGTCTAGTATTTTTTTTATTTTATTTTATTCGAATTGTAAGTATTTATTTTTGTTGAGAGGTGAAGATATGTTGCTGTATTTGTTTTGCATTCTTTGTCAGAATCTCATTTGGATCAAAAGCACCAGAGTTGACAGTACATTATCATTCTCTTTCAGATGTTGTAACCACCAGAGATTTGCATGAATTAGAAGGCGAACTTACACACTATGTGCTTGTCACACTGTGAGTTTGAGTCCTGCTCATGACCTGCTCTCGCTTTGCTATTGCTCTTTCCTATCTTTGCTGTTGCTTTTTAGTGTGTCCAATAAATGCAAGAAATGCATAAAATTAAAGAGTTTAAAAACACATATGTCCAGTCAATTATGAGCAGGACTGAGAGAAAATATACAAAAAACAAACAAAAAAAAAAAACAGTCCCGCAAACAACCATAAAGTCAGAACAGAAATGTGTACATGCTTAGGAAAACCATACAATAAAAAAATAAGTAGCATATCTCTGAATAGTAATAAAAGGAAATTTGAGAAGACGTTGGCGGCAAATGGACAACACATAGAGTTCTGTTGTTACAATGTAATTTTACCATCAATTTTATACAAAGCATAGCCCTTATAGATAGCAGAGGAGTGCATTTTCTTCTGTCCACCACCTCTTGTTCCTCTCTGTGTGGACGAAACACTTTTGAAATATCTTTTAGACAGTCTCATTTTGGCACAGTGATTTGAAATGGTGCTCTCCTCAACCCACTGATGTTTAGTGCTTGCGCTTCTCCCATTCCATGTGTCTTATGCTGAACTGAACACACTTTCCTTTCAGTCCAGTATATGTACAGTATATGTAAATATGTGCTGTATGCAGCATGTTATTGTATAAGAGCCTAATTCTGTGAGGTTTTTCTTGGAGATATTGCTGGGCGAGGGCTCAGTGAACTGGAGGAGGAAGCAGCGTCATCGTGTCTCTCTCACTGTGTTTTTCCCAGTCACACCTTTCTTTTGCATGTGGCCGCCGCCGCCGCCTCCCCCCACGGCTCCCCGTCACTGTCCGCCCCTCGCTCTTTCTCTTCATCCCAGTAGTCGTCCTCTTCCTCCTCCTCTTCCTCCTCGACGGGTGACTCATATGTGGCTTTCTCCTCTTGCTTGATGGCTTGAATGGCGGGGGGAGCGGGTGGAGCGGCGGGAGCTGCAGCAGCGCTGTCCCCTGAGTCACTGCTGTCCTCGAAGGCATCGGGGTTTTCCAGCATCTCCCTGATCAGTGGAGGCATGGGCCCTGGAATCTCTGTCTTCAGTGTGATGGCTCTTTCTGCACCTACAGGCACATGCATATTGTTAAATTGTTATGGTATAAAAAGAAGAGGAAGCCTCTCAAACAATGTTCATTTTTCAAGTCTCATCCCATTTCAGGAAGACAATGCCCCTTCCCTGTCAATTCCTTCATATATGCAGATGATGGTAAAGTCTCTCTGAAAGAATTATTTTGCAGGTATGATCCTTAGAATATAATGATATTAAATCATTTCATTTTTTGTACTCATCAACTCTTTTCTAAAAACATTGTATGTCTTATTTAGAATGAAACTCTTCTCCGAGATCTCCAAGGTGACTTGGGCTGGGTATTACATTTTTTGATACCAGTCCCAAAACAATTCTTCTGTCTTCTACTGATACCAAAATAATGTCAAATGTGAAGTTGTTAAGACAAGTAGCCGTACCAGAACTTTGTCTTAAAATGGCAATTTCTTATTCTAGTCTGATAGAGGAGAACGTAAACAAATCCACGCATCTGACCAGACATCTGAATGCCAACTTTCAATATTTGCTGATACTCAATGCTACAAATGCATTTCGGTCTGTACCAGAAAAAGGTGTTGAAGTATACCCATCTCTACTCTTAACTGCAGTTGTGACATGTAAAGCCTCAACTGACCTTTGGTGCTGATTCCTCGGAGGTCCGTGACTTTCATCAGCATACGCGGAAACATATGAGGCTTGTTTGGGCGTCTGCGGCGGGTGTAGATCTTCAGAGCCTCTAGCAGCGGCTCCTGCAGCTTGTCTACCTTCCCCGGCTCTTCCAGGTCCATACGGTCTGACAGAGCAAGAGGGAGGTACCAATGTGAAGAGGAAATATTAACAGTAACAGTAAGACCAGATGATAGAGAGGGAACTGCAAAGCAGTGAGACGACTCAACATTTTTAAAGGCTTTAAGCTACTGGCTTGTTTCTAAACTATGAAATGATCTTGGTCATGGTTCCTTTCCATCAACAACTCCATGACTCCAGGTGGAGATGATGTCAAGAAAAACAAAACAGAAGGCCAGATTTACCTCCACAGATCAGGCAGATGGCACTGAGCAGCCCCGTCTCTGTGTCGTCCATCTCCAAAGGCAGCAGCTGACCAGCGAAGGCAAACACCAGGTCCGTGAGTGGACCAAAGCCGGCGTTATGCATCTGTGTCCTGTTGAGAGTCAGGCCGTCCGAGAAGGTCATTGTGTCCTGCTCTGGTGTGTAACGAGTGCATATCCTCAGCATCTAAGAAGAGGGCGAAAATGAGACGGAAGAAAAATGACAGAGACAAAAGAACAAGAGGGGAGATTTAGTAAAATAAAGATGAAATTCGGCCGTGAGGCTGTTCAGAATCATATTTTTGTATCATATTGACACGTTAATCAGCATGGCAAATGAGAAAGCGTTAGGGAGGTGGAGGTGGTGGGAGGGGAAACGGTTAAAGGAAGTAATAGGAGCATGTGGTTGGTACCAGGATGTCCAGACATGCAGATTTGAGGAGGGTGATCTGGTCAGCGATGGTGAGCGTAGTGAAGCCTGGTAGCCGCTTGGCAAACTCCACAATCTTTATAATGCACTTAGTGGAGAGCTCACTGAACTTATCCCACAGGCCCAAGTCCAGCTGTACTCTGTGGTCAGCACTTGAATTCTGGGAGAGAGAAAGAGGGACACTTGTGTCTGTGTGGCTGTGCAGAGTCCATAACTATGTTTGTCCTCCTGGCAAAGCGGTGAGCTAACGCCTGAGTGGATTGTGAGTGTTTAGGGGTAAATGTGATTATGCATTTAAAAAAAAAAAAGAAAAAAAAAAAAAAGAAAAACTCACTGTGGTGTATTTTCCTAGTTGGCACAGAGATGGAAAGGTCTCCTGATGAGCTTTGCTGACTTTGTTCACCAGCTCCTCCAGCTCTCCACTCAGCTCATAGTTCTCCGGCAGCACCACCTCCTCCTTCACATCCTTCTTCTTTTTGTTCCTGTCATTACGCACCGCTGCAGGGGAAACACAAGAAACACAGACCGTTGCAGGTTCGCCACTTCTTCAATGGTGAGGAATCGTTTCCCCCCCGAGCCTCTTACTACTGTCTTAGGCACTCACCTTCTTTGGACATGCCAACCTCAAAGCACTTCTGCAGCCGACAGTACTGGCAGCGGTTGCGGGTCACTTTATTGATTTGACAGTTCTTGTCTCTGTGGCAGGTATACACCATGTTCTTCTGGATACTACGCCTGAAGAAACCCTGAAATCGATAAAAAGAAACATCTTGTACAACGCTTTCAGGACAGGGAAAAAAAAAAAAGATCTATGCTCTAAATCTCTCATTTGTCAACAGTTTTATTTCATTTGGCTGCAGTAACCATTTGCTGGTCGCACACAGCCAACTGTTTAGCTCTGCAGTATCAGTAAGGACACACTAGAGGGCAGCTTAACAACAGCAAACATTAAGGCTATGCTGCCCCGACATCTGTCTCCAGCAGAAACATCAGGTTCTCACTCTGGCCTTCTTTTTTAGTGGACATCAGCTGTTCTCTCCATACATGCCCTGTAAACCCTTTCTATGGCTAAATGTGTCCCTGTCTTCATTTACCTTGCAGCCCTCACAGGAGCTCACTCCGTAGTGATAACCAGATGACTTGTCCTGGCACACAAAGCAGGGTTTGTAGACCCGAGGAGGAGGAGGGGGAGAGGGAGAGCTGGGCACCATCTCCTCTGAGCTGGTGCTCTGGGTCTCCACCGCTGCAGAGAGAGAGAGAAGAAGAAGAAAAGAAACATTTAAGGCCAGAGCATCTTGTTTACATAAGTTCTCCAAGTCTTTGAAACTATGATGAAAGCTAATACAACAACTGATTAAGAGAGAGTGGTCAACAAACAACCCCCGACCCCATGCAGGCCACCCCTTGGAGCCAGAAGGCAAGCTCAAAGGCAGACATTTTTAAGAGAAAAGGGAGGGGAGGGGGGGAATACTGCTGATTGACAGCCTTAAAAGAGACACAATTAGCTGATGGCCAGATGGCCCTGCTGATAAAATGCTGATTGGCAGCTGAGATTTGATTGGCTTCTCCATTTACTGGTGAGTGGGGGAGCAGCATACCTCTGTTGACTTTTTGACTGACATCTGAATTTTTGTGTGGCTATGTGTGTGTGTGTGTGTGTGCACGCACACACACAAACACACATGCACAAGCTCACAGTTTTATTTGAAAGGCTGTCCAACCAGACCTGCCTATATACCTCCAGCCCCATGTGAACAAACAGAGGCGGGATGTTTATGAGACTCGGCTGTCTCCCTCTGTTCCTTCCCGCTGTCTCTCCACAGAAAATGGCACACTGTATAACACCATTTGCCGGCCACAGGCAAAGTCATTCAACTGCTGCTAATGAAAACGTTCACAACAAACAGTGTAAAACAGATGCAGACACAAGTGTGCCCGGCTGATTAAAACTGTGCTTCCTTGCACTCAGATTAAAACAGATGAGTACAACAGTACAACACGCCTGGTACAGATTTAAAGGTGATGACTAAAGAACAACCAGATTCCTTCGAACATGCCTTTCAACTTTCACCTTCAGTCACCCCAACTTCACCTCCCTCTGCCCATTCCCACCCCCACTCCCTTGTTTCCTGGCCCTAAATTCCTCAGTGCAGGCTGGACAGGGTTTAATAGTTGCCCAGGCTCATAAGCAGGCCCTATAAACGTTGTGTCTGGGATGGGAAGGAGGCCCCCGGCCAGGCTGACGGTCTCTTTATTGGGATCCAGTCACCTTGGGCAGCTATTCACATCAACAGCTCCATCCTTGGATCCCTTCCTAGTAAAAATAAAGAATCTGGGGTCAAAAACCCAAAGTCACAGCCCCTCCTGTCACCTTCAATGGATAGCACAGGACTGAACCAAATGTGGCCCCCACCCCACCGTAGCAACCCCAACCTGAACCCGCAGCTTGTCATTAACAAGAGTGGTAAGGTTTCAAAAAACAGAGAGGCAAAGGCACAAAGGAATAATCTAATAAAAACAGAGAGGGGAAAAATGAAAAGAGAAAGAAAGGGAGAGAAGGAGGTGAGGCAGAGGACAGAAACTTCCCAGTGGCCGAGAGGTTAAATAAAATCCTGACCATTTAACTTTGACCTTGACTGAAGAAGGCCATTACTAAGTACACGAGCAGCAGCTTGTTTTAACATTCACAAATGTGTTCAAATATGACAGAACATTCAAATGATTGTGACTTGTTTTAAGGAACTGAGAAATAAAAAGCCCAGTTTTTAACTTGATATTCATGTGTTGAGCGTGTCCCTGGTTTTGACATAGTTCTAAGTCTGTGATTATTTAATAGAAGAATGTATATGACTCACTGGAGACACTCTTTCTCTCAGGGAGCATATCTCACATGGAAATACAAAACACACCAACTGGGATCACTGCACACCACCAGCCATTCATTTTTTTTTCAATGACACGTGTGCATTAATTTGATCGTTTCTCTTGTTGTTTTAAAGCCCCTCTGTGAGCTTGAACAGTGCTGATGTCATTCCTAACCTGTGCGCAGCAAATATAGATTTTCAGGCCTTCTTTAAAAACCCTGTAACTTAAAACATAGATGGATTGTGCTGACATTCACACTAAATTGTTCCTTTTATTTCACACCCTCATTTAACGGCAAATAACTGGCACTCTGGTGGCACAGCCAGTGTTCAGTTGCTTAATGTGTTGTAAAAAAAAAAACAACAAAACTGCTGACCTCTTTATTTTGCTTTGTGATAAATGCTTTTCCCTCCCAACAGAAGCATTTCACAATACACGACATTTAACAATCAGGGATTTCTGCACTTCATAACAACTCTCCAGAGCCAAACAGTAAGCACATCCTGAATTTCTCAATATTTACACGTCGCTGAATTTTCTTAAATATTAAATACTAACCAAAGACACAATTGTTTCCAACAAGAGAGAGAAAAAAAAACATCCAGAAATGAACAGCAGCAGGAGCAACAGTGGTGTAGCATTATGATGAAAAAAAGCCTGATGCATCGAGTTACAAGCTTCCAGCTTCTTTCAGTGAGGCTTTGTCTTTGTCTTATGTGATAGTAATCTGAATATCTTTGAATAAATCAGACATAAATCATCATTATGAAAACTGTATCTTGGTCTTCAGGGAAACTGAAACTGGCATTTTTCTCTTTTTTAAAAAAAAAAAACATTTTATGGAGCAAATAGTTAACGAAAAACAGTGTTGCTCAGAGTCATGCCTGCCTATTTCAAACACTCTTTCTCCACAAGGAGCTGAAAAAAACATGCAGCACACTCCGACAAGAAGTGAGTTGAAATTATTCCAGGTATGCTAGAGAAAGTATCAGGTTTCCCACACAGATTTATGAGTAAACAAAAAGCTGCTTGATGAGCAGAGGCTAAATACTATTAGTCAGTTTTGGGGCATTAGGGCCCAGGTGTGGATGGTATATAGTGAAAGCGGGTGGACCTGAATGAGTGGCACTGTAACCTGATCATTGTTTTCTGTTTATATAGTAACACTGACAATGTAAAAGCGGCCCTGAGAGAACAAGTGGCAAAGTAGCTCCCACTGAAACGGAGAAGCTGCATCTGGCGCCAGGAGAGAGGTAGTGACTGACACCGTCTGAGGGTGAGGGCGAGGAGGGATTGTGACTCAAGAGAAGCATGAGGGAGAGAGAGACAGGGTGAGAGACACTTGGCTGAGGGCAGAGAGAGAGCGAGGGGGAGGAGGGGGAGAGAGAGAGAGAGAGAGAGAGAGGGAGAGAGAGAGAGAAGAGGAGGAGGAGGAGGGGACTTTACCTGGCGTGGAGAAAGAAGGAGAGGAGCCAAAAACTGTCAGCAGCTGTCATCACCCTGAACTGAGCTCAGCCTCAGCGCCTCAGCCCGGAAAAAAAATACCTCCCTCTTCTTAACTTACAGCTCACCCCTTAGCGTGTCACAACATCAATCAGCACGCCGCTAATGGACAGAAGAGACAAGATGACGTGTGTGAATCAGCCTCATCAGCTACCTTTATTTGTCTACTATGCAGCGCTTCACATGCGATCTAAACTATAAATCTAATCCGTCATATGATGAATTTTCCACCCTGGAAGGCCCATTTCCCCCCTTTTCCTAAAATTTGAACCTGATCTTCTTACAGTTTAGCTACAAGAAACTGCACTTCTAACTCCTACCACCTGTACAATAGGCTAGTACCGTATTTCCTATTACTACCTCACCTGATCTCCTCTGTTTTCTGTGTCTGTCCCACATTCCTCCTCTTCCATTCACTCAGTGTTTGTTGTCAGATCAGCACATCCCTGTTTAGACAACAGACGCCCCTCTGAAAGCAGAAACCTTCCTTTATCAGCCCTGATGCCCGAGCGTCTTGAAACTCAAAGGGACCAAAGTGTCAGTCCTCTAAACTCTGCGAAAGCTGCTGTTTCAACAGCACAGAACTGATCCATCAGTCTGTATGAACAAATACATGAGGATGAAAAAACACGGTGACTACAGTTTATAGCCTGAATGAACATATGGTACACAAACACACAAACAGAGTGAGCATGTGGTTTGTTTTACACTGATGTTGAAGGTCTTTCCACTCCTCTTGGAGGGGCAGTGTGGACGACTCAGTGTGACATATGGCCTATAGCTGGGCTCAACCTGCCAACATTGCACATCTCATTGAACTAGACTTTGGCCTGGGGGGCTCCACAGAGCCTCACACTATGGGGTAGAGGAGGGTAATGCTGAGAACAAAGAGTTCAATAGAGACAAAACTATAGCTTCAATAATCCTTCATCCGTTTTTCTTTTGAGCGAGATCAGAAATTTGATTTGATAATTGTGACTCCGTTAAATGTGAAAATGCAGCAAAATTCTGACTCCTGTTTCCTTCACATGGACCCATGAATGAAATGGATGGCAAATTCAGTTTTTACATAACTTGCCTCTTGCCTCACTAAACTTTCAGCAGCACGCTGTGGAATGTGCGTGCGCATGTGAATATGTGTGTGTGGGCTGCTGCATGGGACCATGGGTCGAGTGGACAGCGTACGATGGTTTTCAGTGTGACTTTGAATGCAGCAACACTCGCAGGAACAAACTTGGTGAGGAGAGGGGGGGAGGAAAACAGTGGAATAAGTGTCCTTCATGATTGAATGGTCATAACACAAAAATGTCATGCTGAAGTTCATTTCAAAGGGCAAAGTCAATGCAACTAGTAAAAAAAAAAAAAAAAGTGCTTTCTGACATGGTCTGTATTTCACATTATCAAATGGATGATTCATGTATATTTTATTGTTACTGTACTAAGTTGAAATTCAAGAGCAGATAAACAGTGGGGGAGAGTTTCAACCTAAAATATGCTGAGTGAGTAATTACCACGACAGCAGGGAGGAGATGGGGGAGACCTGAGTGACAATCCCTTTCATCAGCTGTTCTACGTTCAATACCAGTACCCCCCCACCCCCAACCCATCTCCTCTGGGAGGAGGAGCCCTTCCTGTCACTGGCAGCGCCTTTTAAAGGAAAGGCTGTGAAGACCAGGCTACTGTCCAGGAGATGGCTCCATAAAAACAGCAGCACCAAACACAACATAAAAAGGAGGGACACACACACACACACACACGCACACGCACACGCGCACGCACGCACGCACGCACGCACGCACGCACGCACGCACACACGCACACACACACACACACACACACACACACACATGCACAAGTTCACTTAGAAAAACAGAT